TTCAACTACAAGTATCTGTAGTTAATTTTACACTAAATGAACCATGTTTAAAATGTGAAATGAATTGCCAGAGCAGTGTAATAATGTATTCCGTTTAAGCAAGAAAACTATATAAACATAGACTTAGACAAACTTTACTGAGTCACAAGGGAAATTATTTGGACTCAGTAGCTCACACATCACCGTATAATAATGACAAAGACCAATAATTTTAATGGTAATAATAAAGTCAAAATAAGTAGCAAAAATAATAAGAGACTGGTGTCAAATAAAGCATAATTAGATAAATGTATATATATATATACAAGTGAAAATAAAAAAGATATAGCAATATAATAATACAAATAAATACAAATCTCAGCTATATACAAGAGGTTAAGGACGAGTTGTAGTTGGAGTATGGTATGAATGTAGTCCTGTATCACTCACAGTCTGAACGGACTTGTGCAATGTGATGTTGTGTCCTAGGGCAAGACACTTCACACATTGCCTTGTATTGTGTTAGTGGGTGTTGGTGGGAGGGTTCGATGGCGCATAATGGAGCATACCTCAGTAGAGCAGTGGAATACATCTAGAGCAGATGTGTTGAACTCAGGCCCGGGGGCCAAATTTGGCCCATGATATAATTATATTTGGCCATGAGATCATGTCAAATATGTATTAGAGCTGGCCCGCCGGCTACAGATTATTTAAAATTATGTTATTATTTTATATTATGCTTGTTCTGGATTCAGTGTTTAAGCAAAACTATTATTGAACATTTATTTTAATAAGAAAAGGTTTAACTTTGCATATAAGAGAAAACATGCAGATGTTGTTGAAATTTTTCAGTAAATATTTAGTTTGGCCCACAACTTAGTCCCAGTTTTTAATTTTGGCCCTCTGTGGATTTGAGTTTGACACCCCTGGTCTAGGGCTTTGAGAGGCTTGAAAGTCTGTTAAACACAATAAAAGTTTAAGGTGTTATTCATTTAATGTGATGTAGATTTTCAGTTTGGTTTTTAAACATGAACAAATTAAACCTAAGTGATGAATAAAAGAAGATTGTTGTGAGGAAAAACTAGAATATCAGGATGGTCTAGTTACAGGAATTTAAATAATGACCCAACAAAACAACTATTTTTAATGGAAATCAATTCACAACATTTGGCCCTTATCTCAAAGTACTGCCAAAGCTAAAAATGTTCCAAAGTATATATATGTATTGCTAAGAAAAACATACTATGAGCGGGATTGCCTCTCCACAGATCTTACCTGTAGCTTGGACATGTGGGATCAGTTGCTCAAATAGATACATTTAATGCCATACTCTGGAACATTCTAGGCAAAGCAATAACCTCCTTAGACCAGAAAGGCAACAAACCCTTCACCTGAAACTTCTATACTTTGAATTAGTAAAGTATCTAAAGTAGTCACTAAAATACTAAAGTTATGAAAATACTTTAAGTCTTTTTTTTGCAGTGAACCAATACTTTAACCCTCCTGGATCGAAACTAGCTCTCTCCTCTGTGCTACCTGTCCACAGATCCATCCTTATCGTCGTTGTGAGCTCCGCACTGATCCCCCAGTCTGTGTAATACATATTTAATGCCCTAATGATTATATGCCGTTCCATCTGCAGCCCAACACACGCACGGCACTGGCAAATCAATGGCTTTTCCCACGCTAATGATGTCAGGAAACATTTCGCTCCATCTCTCTATGTGAGCCTTTAATCCTGGAGGTTTTTTTTTACTTTGTCTGGCCCCTTCGCAGAGACAAAGCACTGGTCATTGGCTGGACTAATGCTGATGTTTACCACAGCTGTCATTGCCACTGACAGTGCCTGCAGTAAGGCATTTGTCTAACTTTGGGCACTGCTGTCTTTCAGGTTAGACTCAGAGAGAAACGGTCAAGCGGGCAAACCGAGAAAAAAAAGTGGAGCAATGGGTTTAGAAATGGTTCACAATTTCTAACATTAAAGGTGCTCTATCTTTTTTTTGTGTGTTTTGTTTTCTGGTTGAGGGTCCACCACCTGTTTGTCTCTATGGAGATGTTGTTGCTTTGCAGTGGTGAAACATAACAAAGTAAGCAAGTAAGTAGCAAAGCACTGTACTTAAATATGCAACTTAGTTATCTGTACTTTACTTAAAGGGCCCATCTCATGCAAAATAACTCTTCACTTTGTATCTTATGCACATAAACAAGCACAATTTGGGAGCTGTCATTGTGTCCTTAGGCAAGACACTTCACCCACATTGCCTAGTATGAAAGTGATGTGTGCGTGAGTGATGGTGGTGGTCGGAGGGGCCGATGGCGCAGATTGGCAGCCTCGCTTCCGTCGGTCCACTCCAGGGCAGCTGTGGCAATAGTATCTTACTACCACTGAGTGTGGAGTGACTGAATAATGAACTGTAAAGCGCTTTGAGTATCTTGAAAGGCACTATATAAATGCAATCAATCAATCCCCCCGCCCGTCCTGAGAAAGCACAGGCTCCACCCTACAAACGTGATGTAGGCGCTGAGTGAGCCGCCCTTCCTCCGCCCATCTCAGGGAGTGAGGGGGAGACAGGTGTGCACCCTGATACCAGTAGGAATAAACTTTTATTCATCATGGTGATACAGCGCGTTCAGCCTTATGTGTTGGACCCAGAATCGGACGAGATCTTGGAGGTACACAAAGCGCAAGCACCTCCTTGGCATCAGCTGAACATTACTGATTGGTAAAATATTAATAAACACTAGTAGATAAACTTATTATATTGTGTACACTGAAGTGTATAACAATTAGCTTATGCTGTCGCTTTTGTTTAGGTGTTCATGTAGGAATTGTCAGCCGATGCAGGGTGGAGGCGGGGCGGAGGAGCGAGGGAGAGGGTCGGGTGTGAAGCTCCTTCTGCTACGTCAAATGCATCATAGGTGTAGCTGGCAGTGTCATCGTTGTAGCAGGTTTTAGTTTGTTGTCACGTGGGGGGGTGGTAGAAATATGCTTCAATTTGTTAAAAAAAAACACCAAATCAAGCTAAAAAACACTTATACAAGGCCCACACATCATTCTTAGAAGGCAGAAAGCTCTGAAAAGTTAAAGTTGATTTTGCATGAGATGGGTCCTTTAAATCTATTTTAAAGTGGATCCTTTTTACTTTTACTTCACTACATTTGAGAGCAGGTATCTGTACTTTCTACTCCACTACATTTTAGAACAGGACTGAAAAGTAAAAATATTTTTTATTATAGTTTGAAAGCTGCTTAAAAGGCTGGGGGATTTTTATTTTCTATTTTTTAACACGTTCATAAGTTTTAACAAACAAAAATATATCAACATGTAATTTCCATTATTTCTGTAGAACAAAATTCAGAACAAATCTGTACCAAAAACATTATATTCAAGCTTTATTAGATCTGAATATCTGTGTGAAATACTTACCTTTTACTCTGTACTCAGTACATTTTTAAATGGGTTCTTTAATACTGAAATAAACTTTTTTCATTGTGATACTTTTACTTTTACTTGAGTACTTTTTTGCTCTAGTATGTGTACTTTTACTTAAGAAACAAAACTGAGTACTTCTTCCACTACTGTTGCTTTGCCTGGAAGTTTCCCAGTATGCAATACATTTATCTTTGCATAGAGACAAGCTTAATGTCATACTGTGGAACATTCCAGCTAAGTGACATAGTGAATCTTTACACAATTAACCAATTTGAGAAAATACATGGCTGCAACATACAGTATCTGAATTCTGCAGGACTGTGGCAACAAAAGCCTAAATGCCAAAATGATAAAACAGACACCACAAATATATGCAGTCACAGGGAGTCTAATCAGGTCAAAAGCATAAGTGGTTTAATTATTATGTCCCACAACAAATTACATGATTGAAGATTGAAGAAAGGGATGGCTAGAAAGGCCTTGGATGTAAAATCTATACTGAATTCAATTTACAAACCACTGGAGGTCTAAAGGTCAAGGAATGAAATCATATATGCAATTAACATTTCAGTAGCATCTCCTGATTAGAAGCATGGAAGAAGATTAGGTATTAATACTTGATCCTGAGTATTAAATGTTAATTCTATGAGCATATGTGATGAGCTGAGATGTTGGATTCATTGGACGTGCATAGTCTTAGTCTGTTAAATGTTAAAAGGACACTACTTGGAACACTTCCTGGTTCACAGAAGATAAAACTCTTAAAGGGCCAGTGTTACGCTATTTTGTGATCTATGTTAGGATGTTGTTTCCTCATCAAAAACATACCTAGAATGGTGTTTTGTTTCATGTTAAACACATAAACCCTACAGATTTTCTTTTGTGTTATGTCAGAAAGTGTTTTTAAACTCTTCAAAAGAATCATTTGGATGACTGCATACATGGAAGTTCCAGTATCTACTGAACTAAAGGTAAAAAGGAGCTGTTAACATGAAAACTTGAGGTTTCATGACATCACAAGGTGGAACAGACCATTTTGAGTTTTGAAAATGTAGATAGACTAATAATTCAGCATTACTAAATATGGGTGAAAGAAACAAAACACAATACCTGGTATGTTTCTGAGGAGGTAACAACATTCTAAAATGGACTAAAGGTGCATTGTGGAACTTTTTTGGTGGAGGGTCTGTAAGGTAAACCTGTTTAATGTCATACTGTTAAACATTTCAGGCAGAGCAATGGCATATCTGTAGAAACAAGCAGGTGACAGACCCTTCACCAGCTCACAAGAGTAACTTTTGTATGTAGGAGCTTTAATAATTACATGCAGGTAGGTAGCACACAGCAGACCTATTGGAGATGTTTTTACAGTATGTCAGTACTGGGGAAAACTAATTTGACTTTATTACAAGAGAAAAAACAGATATTCATGATGTTATATACGCACACTTTGTCATTATACATTTGTTTAACTTCCCCTCCTTCTCTGCACTTCTCGACACTTGTGTGAAGAATGGCTCCAGACGGTGTACTAGGACTAAAGTGCAGCTGATGTTCCTGAGACCCATTTGTCTGCCTCTCCTTTCAGGTCCAAAATGGGTTTGGACAAAGAGGCCGGCCTAATTCACCTGGAAACCAGCATCTCTGACGGACGTGAGTAATTCAATCCCCAGTCACACCTCTATTTCCCTGTGTCTGGAGCCCCGCGCTCTGAATGTTTGGCTCAAGTGGAAAGGAAAGGCCAGTACTCACAAATGTGTAATAGACTAATGCTGCAAACACACAAGGAAAACCAAGTGAGAGAATGAAGAAGTTTTTGGTTACACTTTATAATAACCTTAATTAGCCTTAAAGAAGACATATTGTGCTTGTGTCTGCTATATAGTTATAATCTATGACCCCTGTGGATCATTATGTTATAATTTGCACATTTTCAATTCCAATATTCATCTAAAAATGACTTAATTAAAGACACAAATCCACTGGCTTTGTTGTTATACAGCAGAGGTGCCCAATGGGAGCTGGTGTTGCATCATCACAACAGAGAGTCGGTACCTGTGATAGCTGCAGATCATATTAGCGAATAGCTGTTTTTTTTATTTGGACCAAAATGACGATGCAACACTGCCGAATCTTGTCCGTATCACGACTATAAGAAAATAAAATTGTACAACGAAGTAAGTACAGAGCGGTGATGGGGATTGATCAGCAATATAGCATCTTTAAAATAAGTGGTTAAAGATCGAATACAACTTCAAGTGAATAAATGGTGAGGGATTATTAAGAATGCTTCAGTCTTAGTAATTGAAAGGTTGGGACTAGGACTTATTTAGAAGTTAGTAAGCCCGAATCATTTGCTCATGAATGAACCATTTGAAGATGAACCATTTTGAACAAACCATTTGAAGATGAATGAAGTTTTTCTTAATGTTTAATTAAGGCTAATTAGGAAACAATTTATAAAGTGTTACCAAATATCTATACCCAATTGGTAATAATTTGGATTAAAATAAAAAGTGTTGTAGAATAATAGTCAATTCTACTGAAATTTTGATCAATATGTCGAATTAAAGTAATACTAAAGGTGCACTATGCAATTTTTCTGCTTATGTCTATGGAGATGTAATTACTTTGCCTAGAATATTTCTAGAATCTATGGCATTAATCTATCTTCATGGAGACAAGCAAGTGACACCATCAGGCCAAATTACAGGTCAGATCTGTGGACAGGGGACCCCGGCCTGATCACTGCAAGAATGCATGTTTCCCAAAGTATTTTCTGAACAATAGAAACAAGTGACATTTAATTAATAAAGATATTATATAACTTACATACTGTGGAGCATGCAGGATATGCAATAATATAACCATGGAAACAAGAGTAGCATAGCCCACTCCAGAAAAATATATTGCACCTTTAACTAAATATTTCTTCTTTGCAGTGAGGACTCTATTTTTGTGGGGGCCATCTTACATTATTTAATCTAGTGTGATTAAAAATACACCTCCTGAATCTCCATAGTCACATAACACAGGCTGTCAGTACAATCATGAAATAATAATGCGTTTCTATGGACCTCCCAGAAGTGCTATTGAGCGGGCTAGTCCTGCAAAGTGCTAATCATTTTGTTTAAACATTTGTCTATTGATTGTGTGATCAATGGTTCAAGTCAATGATGGGTCTGTACAAAAGATTAGCTCTAAGGAATATGGGAGGTCAGATAGGGATTTTCCATGGATTTTACATTTCATATAAATCACAGCTGTGGGCAGAGGCTTAAACTAAGGGTGGACTAGTTCAATTTGTTATGAGTGCATTACTCCTGACAGGCCCATTGGATCAGACTGGAGAAAATCTTTATTAAATGTTATTCACTTTGTCAATATTTTTCTTAGTATTGTTGAAGCAGTAAAGAAGCACTATTATGTATCATGAAACTGCCCTTCAATTTCAGGAACAAGCAGGATGTACACCAAAGTGTGTACTATCTGTAAATAGATTATCTTTATGTAACTTTTCTTCCACGTGCATGTGTCTATGAACATGCTTTGGATGGAATGTTTCATATTATGGCATTAAACTTCTGTCTATCATGCATATATTCTATTAGAAGTATTTTTATCACTTAAAAATACTTTGGTAAACATGCATTCTTCTTAGTGCGGGCTCACTTCTGAACATATCTTAACTTGACCTGGTATTGTCACCTGTCTCCATGAAGAGATATGAGTTTAATGCCTTACACTGGAATATTTCAGGCAAAGAAATGCAAACAGGTATTGGATCAGGAATGTTACAGTGCACCTTTAAATATTTGCTTCCAAATGTGCTTGTTGAAATTTAGTACCTCCATTAGGTCTTTCTAGTACTAAAGCACAACTGAATCACGTCTAAAACAGCTTTGGTCCATCTAAATGAGAACTGAAACAAAGGAGGCCAAAACAAAGCAAAACAAACTAGCTCCTGCACCTCAGTTTGAGAACCACTCTAAGTTATCATATCACTTCAAAGGCAATCTCATAAAACCACAATACGAATAAACCTCGCTATATCTATGTATTATTTCTCATGTCCGGATGTATTAACCACTCAAACTCTGTTACCTTAACTCACTCTCCATTCTGTATCCCTTCAGTTCAATTCTCTTTCAAACTGTGTTGAGAGCATCTGTTCACCTTGATGTCTGCGGGCCTTTGTAGCTGACACAATAGAGAAAAACCAATCATACTGAACATCACAAGTGTCACAAGTTAGGTGCACACAGCGAGGATCCATCATGCCTGTTCCCTCCTGCCCCCTCACCCATTTGGCAGAGGCTAATGTGTCCGGACAGCACCGCAATGGAAGCCAAAGAAAGCAATTGGCCCAGGCGGTCATCTGTCTCTACCCCAGAACACACCCATCACCTGCTCTCAAGAGCTTTATTGACACCTGTAAATGTGCAGACACCCAAAGGAGACACCTGACTGAAAGGTGGCAAGTGGGTGCTACAGGGTTGCTGCTTTGATAAGGGGTTCTCAATCGGGGGGTAAGGACGACTGGTAAATGGCTTGTTCAGGTGTGAAGGGACAGACTGCTGTAGAAGTGCAGATTTAAAGATGGTATAACTAACATGAGACGTGTCTAGGCTTTTACTCTGCAATGAATATTCCGCAGTATGGCATTAGACATACACATGTTGCAGTTAATCAATTATATGTATGTTTTTTTTATTTATTGCAAAAAAAAAAAAAAAGTTACAGTGAACTGGGTCATCTCTCCACAGACCTGACCTGTAACTTGGTATCACCTGCTTGTATCCTTGGAGACAGATGAGTTTCATGACACTGTGAAACATTCTAGGCAAAGCAATTACATGAAAAGTTACATAGTGCCCCTTTAAAATGTTTAGAAGTAGTTTTCTTGAGATTAAAAACTGATTTCACCCTGGTTTAGATGTGAAGTAACATCTAAAAAAAGACATAAACTCTTAAAAGCATACATTTGGCAGTGTGGCTTAGTGGTGAGGTTGCAGCACATATGCAGGGTAACAGGTTGGCCTTGTCAATAAACACATACATACATACATACATACATATACATATACATACATATATAAATGACTAAATAAAACATGACATATTTTTCACTTAGATCAGTGGATAGTTAATACCATACTATTTGTGCGTGGTTACTTACCTGGGCAGCCAGAACCACACGCTTTGACAAAGATTCACAAAGACGAGTGGGTCTGAAACTGTATCTTGTTTCCCCACTTCCAGAGGGCATGTTTGACATGTAGCTTAGCCAATCAGAGAGATCCACTTTCTGTTAAAACAAACATGGAAAACTGAGAAACATCAAAGATTTTTGGTCAACAATCAAAGCACTAAACTCTTACTTATCTCAGGTAAAACTGAGGTTAAAGTTTAATTCTGAATGCTGCATGAATTTTGAAAAGCAGGTGTCTTCAGCATTTGAGAAACATGTGACACAATTTAGCAGCTGTGTTTGAATCGTCTCAAGTTTGGATGGAATTTTTCACGCTCTGTTGTCCGATTTCAGTCCTTTCTGGGTTCAAACAGAATGTAGAAAGGACTTATCTGGTCAGGCAAAACGGTCATACATCTGTATTGACACTACGGCTCCAATACTGTATCTTAATCTGTGTATTTTGTGTGTTGGGAGCAGAAGCGCTGTACGTCACCTGTCGACTCCAGAACTGTACCGAGGCCAATAAGGGCAAGCCATTCCCCGGATTCATCGACCCCAATTCTCTGGTGGTGCAGGACGAGTATGTGTTTGTGCAGGTATGTAATGGTCCACTTTGCTCTCGGAGAACAAAGAGGTTAGACTGAATCAGGCCCTGTACAAGGGCATTGGAACAAATCCGTATGTCTGTTATGTAATTACAAAATGGTGTCTCTAAATGTTTTTCGTTGTAAAGGTTTCGACTACCGGGAGGCCAATCTACTACGTGTCAGCGAAAAGAGACGTGTTCACCCCAATGAAACTGCCCAAGTACACGCTGCCCAAGGTAAATGTCAAAGTCAACAATAGAAAAACACTATTGCCACTTCAAATATATAGTTGTTTAGGTGTATGATTGCAGTAACCCCGTTTACAAATGGTCTGTTTACATTTGGAAGTGTGATATGTTGCCTTAGTAAATACAGATGAAAAATTATAATATTGCAATGACTTTATGCCACTGACACAATAACCCAAGAGCAGATTTAAACCACAAAAACTATTCTAAATGTGCACTATTGTTAGAAAATCATGAGCTGCAATAAATAAATAGCACAACACTTTAGCAGTTAATTTGTATCTGTAATGAATCATACAGATTGTGGCTTTAATGTTGACTCATTCATCGTGATTAAAAAAATCACAGGAAAAATAAAGAATATTCAGTTTACATGAGTTATTGATTGATTATTAAGCATTTAAGATTAGCATGAAATAAACATTGATATACAAACATAAGCTTCTATATGATGAATTAAATAACTTACGACATTGATTCATCAATCCTTAGCAGTGGATGCGACTGGATTTTCTAGCTGCAAACCATGCGGCTTCCCTGTCTCTCCTGGTCTCACAAAACAGAAAGTCAGCCACTTTGTATGAACTTTATCGACAAACCAAAACAATACAACAGTGAACAGATGAATAAACAATGATTATTAAACTAGACATTATTAATTCAACCTTTTACGACCTAAATCTTATTCTTTCGCCAAAAAAATATAACTAAACATTTCTAAGTAGTTCAAAGAAGAAAAACACATGATAAATATTGACCCCCCCAAAAAATATTGTTCCAGATTATCATGACAAGCCTAGTTTATAAAGTCATATTTAGATGTCTAGTAGAACTGAACACTGTTTATTATCCACTATTACATTATTCACTATTAGATCACTAATACCAATGCAAACACAATAAACTTATCATAGCATATTTAGAGAAAGTGAAAATACTTTTGGGGGGAAAAACGTATAGTGAAATTGAACCAGCTATTCTACTCTATTTTATTGTTTTATCTTATTCTAACAATCATCTGTAGATATTTAGATAATGAGTATTCTGGTCATGATACTATCAAAAGAACTAAAATAAATGAATAAAATAGCAAAATCAAATAATTCAGTACAAACCCCACAATAGCTTGAAATGGAAAGGAAAAAACTTGTAAATTTTCACCCCACACCAGTTCTGCATTGTGTGATTGGAGTGATTTAACTATAACTGATTAGCAATGATATGAATGTGATATTTTAGCGCACTAAAACTTAACACAGTGCTGCATAATGCTACTAAAATTGCCTCTCCTGGACCCCCTGCCTTGCCACTTGAGCCTGTCAGAAAACGGCTACAATTGCTTTTGTACTATTTGTATTTGAAACCAGCTTCTATAATTGTCCAGCGGTTTTTGTTTGTATTCTGTCCGAAGTCGCAGACCGTGGTACCGTAGCTCAGCATGGCTCTGTCTTTGTTATTTATGACCAAATCACAGCTCAAAGTAACTCCAACTGCGCAACCTCCATTGTTATTCCACTGCGCTCCTCCGGTTCTCCCAGAATGCTCCTGTCACGTCCCCATTGACAATTAAACATGTTTTATTCAATCAGACCCCGGGCGGCTCTCAGTTGCATTGGACTCACAGTGTGCAGCTATTGGCACAGTCAGAGGTAGATGAAGCGCACAAGCTAATGGATCACTGCGGCTAGCGCTAAAGCACGCACAAGACCTGCCCAATATGGCTGACGTGGAGCAATTGGCGTCTAGATCCGACACACGATCAGGGGAGCAGTACCTGTCCTGATTAGAGGGTGTGATTAAGCGCAGTGGGTGTGTGGAAAAATAACATGTAATTGAAATAAGTTGTGGAATAAATCTGATCACCACAATGAAGCTGTCCAAGTACACGCTGCCCAAGTTGAATGCCAAAGTTAACAACAGAAAAACACCTGTGCAACTTTAAAATATACACTTGTGTAGCTGTATGCATGCAGTAGCCCTGTTTACAAAACCGAAAGTGAGTACTCATATTTAGATGTCTAGTACTGAACAGACAGTATCACTATTACCAGCGCAAACACTTTGAACAAACTTGTTACAATGTATTAACTAAAAGTGAAAGTGACAAAGGAGAAATTCAGTTCGGTCAACTGGAGAAAAAGTTTTTGAACAAATATGTTTTGTAGCTCATCCAAGCTGCTTTTTCAGTTCTGAAAAAGTGAAAGTGTTCAACAGTTTGAACATCCTAGAGCCAGCAAGTCAAATCAGCTTTGTATGTACATTATACTTAAACTTTATAATTTTAATATATTTTAAAATTTCATTGTTTCTGTTGAACAAAATTCAGAACAAAAAAACTGTATGAAAAACTGTACATTTGAAGCTTTATTACATCTCAGCTGCACAAAATACTTTTTAGTCTTGGAATTCATTTTTAAATGGGTACTGTATTTCGTTTACTTGTAGATTTAGTAGATTTTTTGATATGATACTTTTACTTTATTATTATTATTATTATTATTATTAGTAGTAGTAGTAGTAGTAGTAGTAGTAGTAGTAGTAGTAGTAGTAGTAGTAGTAGTAGTATTTTGCTCTGGTATTGATACTTTTACTCAAGTACTTCTCAAGAGGTTCTTCCACCACTGGTCATTACTCACTTTCCCCTGAATTTTCACTTCAGCAGAGGTGGTAACCAAGTTTACATAAAAAAAAAGAAAAAGAAAAAAGAAGCAAAAAGCACAAACACAACACTTAAAAAGGCCTGCTATTCTAGTTACATTTTAATTAGCTCTCAGTGGCATTGGACTCAGTGTGCAGCTATCAGTACACATGATCACAAAAGCTAATGGTAAAGCGTGTGCAACACCTGCCCAATATGGTTGACTCACAGCAATCGGCATCTGGACCCAAAACATGACCAGGGGAGCGGTAGTTGGCCTGATTAGAGGTATGATTAAGCGCAGTAGGTGTGTGGAAAAATAACATGTAATTGAAATAAGTTCTGGAATAAGGTTGGTTCATTTGCAGAATGGAAATTACAAATCAGATGTAATGAATGTGCAGAGAAGGGAAAGTTGAGAGGCTGTTTTGTGCTCAGCGGGGGTTCAGTTACAACAGCAAAGAGGGTATAGTCTGTGCTGCTTTTTTTTAAAATGTTTTTTCTCATTAGACATGCTCTAACCAATCAGAGAATATATGTATGTGCATTCACTTCTCTTCAAGTGGAGACATTAGGTTGGCTTATTATTATCACATTATACATGACTATTGTTATTATGTTAGGTAATATAGGTTAGGTCTGCTCAGAAATAATCAGATTCAACTTATTTTCAACTACTTAATAGAAAATACAGTGTAATCAAAAGTGGAAACTGGCTCCTGCTCCCTATCTGGGGTCATGGCATCATCACAATGTACAATATGAAAACCACCACGAGAGCTCTGAACGATGTTGTACCTCAGAATTTTCAGTTCAGCTTATAATGAAAGCCCAATGGAGATTTTAAAATGTTAAATACAGTATTCGGAAAGTATTAAAAAAGTATTCTGAGTGATAAACATATTTACCAGTTGTCACTCACTAGATTATCAAATTATTCTATTTCTGTTCTATTCTATTGTCATCTATTTCAGATGGCATCACAACATTCCATAGGCCAATACTAAGCTTAAATACAGTTCAAATGTAGGTGTTTATTGTAATATGGCAAATTAATGAGTCTAGTCAGTTATTAAAAATGATTACATTAAACACTTGTGAATAAACCTTTTGTATAATAAAGTGAATCTGAAAACCACCAGTGAAGCTTTGGTGTAAGGTACATTGTTTTAAGTTTAAGTTATAGGCATTTTGCACTGCTGGAAAAAAACTAAACAAATAAAAAAACATAGATAATCTCCATGGTAAAAGTTGTTTTTTGGCATTCCACCCCCCCAAGCTCTCGTCCAGGCCAAAACACAATTTAGAAATGCTTGGGTCAGGTCATTTTAAAAAGAATTAACGGAAGTATGTCAGGCTTATTCAAATCTTGCAGCCATCCTAACACAAGATACATTTTGGCTATGTTTACACTGAAACAAATCACCGTATCACTGTATCACCGTATTGGAAACGATCTGCGTCCAGACATGTTGTTTCTGTGTCTGCAAGCCTTCCCTATTCACACAGCTTTGAGCATATTTGTTTACGTTTTACAGAAACAAAACTTCAAACCACATGGCTCATTTGCATAAATTAAGCTCTCAAAAAACAGCTCACTATTGTGCGCTGATGCGGTTCAGCTTCTGTCGGACTAAAGGACATGACTCAGTGGGTTATATGTGTTGTTTCTGTGACAGGGGTGTTTTGGTAATGGTGAGTCTGTTCTGTGCTTCTATTGTGTTGGAGATGATTCATGTTAAACTTTTCAGAGATTATACATCTGCAGATCATACACATAGACCACATATATGAATGGACATATATTTTAGCCTCTTTGCGTTTTGGCGGTGAATTACTTCACGGCGCACAGATCTACATCAGCGTATCAGTGTTTTCAGGTGTCCACACAGTGCCGGACCAGATCCATACTCAAATGAATTCATGGGAGCTGGCGGCACCAGATCGTTCCGCTTCTGGAGCCGTTTTCAATCGGATTAGTGTGGACGAACACTGCATCCGCAACCAAAACGACTTGAATGCTTATTAGTGTGGATGGGGCCTTTGGTGCTAGAAATGTTGCATTACCAAGCCCCACCTACTGGCTGTGACTGGATGAAAGGAGTGTTCCGGAAGAAATCAAAACTCTATGCAGCAATAACACACAAATAGGTCACGTTTTGTATGTGTTGAAGACAATGAAAAAGACCTGATGAAACAGGCTGTTTGGTTTAGTGTGAAATGAAACCTCAAAATAAAAAGACAAATAAGCATCATTTAATTTTCATAAATTTACTTAATTTTTGAGTAGCTGCTGGAAATGTTTCTATTATTATTGTATTATTTGTAATTATGTATATTTAGTAGGTAGAAAAACAGTACTGGTGTTCTTCAATTTTTGTTGAATGTTCCACAGTATGACTTTAAACATTTAAACATCCTCTGCTCATCCGAGAATGCATGCTTTTTCAATGTATTTTTTGGCAAAGTCACATAGTCCGCAGATAAAGATCGAACTATAGTGGGAGAGAATGCTCTACAGACTGAGGAGTCACTTGTGGCATGTGTGTACCTTTTAAATAGATTTCTTATACAAACAGTTTAGACAAGCTGAAGCTGAAGGCAGAGACATGAGAGGGTCAACAGCTTTGACCGGCCGTGAATCAGAAAAGGTTAAGCACCACTGAACAGGGCCACACACAGAGCGCTACTGGACAGGCGCGCTCCGTAGAGTCCAAGGGAAAAGGAGGGTGCCTTTGCTATGACAAAAGGATATTAGAAAATAAATAAAGCCAACAAAAGAACATATTTGCATTTGAATTCCTACTAATTAATTTAGGATGCAATGCAAAAGTATTAATTAAAGCAAACCTGGGCATTGTAAAGCTCCCAGGCCACATACAGCCCTTTGGTTGACTGACCGGCCCATTTAAACTAATTTGGAAATACAAAATAAACAGATTTTATCAGTTTACCTCATGCATGGACTAAAGCTGCATTGCTTTTATTTTAGAGGTGTTTATTAAATAACATATTTTTGTCAGGCAACCTCACTTTTTCATTGCTTAGTAAACTCTTACAGTCTTCCCAGCTTGTCAAAACAATGCTATTTACAGCATGTTTTCATATATATGTAAAGAAATGCAATTAATATTATGCAGAATTGAGTTAAGCATTTTGGCTTGGCATGGTTTCTCATGGAAAAAATAAATAAATTGCCATCCCTGAACTAAAGTCTTAGAAAATTAAAGCAGAAAGTGAAAATGTAGTTTATAATTTGTGATTATGATAGATGATAATTATGATACTGTCAACTCGTCAGTGTGTTTTAGTTTTTTTGACTTGAGGTGACATTTCTAGTTGAAAGACCAACAGCTGCTTGTCTCCATGAAGACATTATAGCTTTGCCTGGAATGTTCCACAGTTTGGCATTAAACTTACCTGTCTTCAAGGAGACAAGCAACTGATGCCACCAAGTTAAGTTATAGGTGAGATCTGTGGAGCGACTACCCCTTTCATAGTAACTACACATGTCTTTCCACCTTAAAAACACCAGTACTAAATAAAGTTAATTCAATATGTTTTGTGAACATTCAAGGCAAACCACATCTCCATGGAGACAAGCAGGTAGAGGACACTTGTGCACCTTATAACATGACAAAGAAGTACAGTTTTATTTTGAGTCTGTGCATTGAAGTGGAATGGAATAACAACTAAAAATACATTTGTTCTTCTAGGAGCTCCATGTGATCAGCACAGATGATAACCGTGTGGTGGCAGCGGTGCAGGAGTGGAACCAGAATGAGACGTACAACTTATATGTGTCAGATACTTCTGGCGTCTTCTACTCTCTGGCCCTGGAGAACGTGGTCAGCAGCATGGGCATCGAGGGCAACGTCATGGTGGACCTGTACGAGGTAAAACTACACACCGGTGTTATCCGATACTGTATCAGATATCGGTGCTGATACTGTAAAATAAGCAGATATCAGCTTGCAAATATTGGTTCAGATGTTATCCAGTTTGGACATTTAATTTGATGTAAGAAGGCAATTTATTGGTCGTAGTTGGCTCAGAAAGTCTGAATGTTTGAACTTTTGTTTATACGGAGCTATTCTGTAGCTACTGATAAATAACAGCTACATAACACATTTGGATCAGTTTTATCTTACTTTTTGTTTAAAGGAAATTAATGTTATCAGTCTCTGCATTTCTGCATTGATATTGATTGATATCGGGTATCAGCAGATACTTAAAACAAAATCATCGGAATTGGCAATCAGAAATGAAAAAAAATAATAAATAGAATAGAGAGAGAGATCGATGCATGATTGATACATGATTGATTTAATGGATGAGTACATAGGTATAGATGTATACAAATGATATAAGGCAGATAACTGATGTGCTAAAAAGATATAAAAATATAAAAATATCAGCCTATCAATCTGTCTCTAATGAAAATTGCCACAAAATGCGACTATTCTGAAATCTGGTGTCCTCTCAGCCAGATATAATCAGTTTGTATTTACAAATGGGCAGGCTATGCTATGGGAAAAAATTCTGAGCTGCAGAGAATTTCTCTTTTTGCTGCAATACCACAACAGTGGTCACTATTTGCAGTGGGCTTAAGCGAGTATACTCTATCCAGATACTTTAATGCAGGGGTCTCAGACTCGGAAGAATTTTTTGCGGCCCTCCACTTAATTCCAAAGAATAATGTCAGTGCGACCCACGGTAGATGTACGCACAATCCCACCCCCCTACCGCGGGCCGCACTGACAGATGAAGCTGCAATCGGTGCCCATACGGATTCACAACAACAGATTATTAATGCAGCTTACATCCCAAAACTCAATTTACAGCAGTTGTAAAGCAACGAGTCTAAGTGGATCTGTTAATACGAGTACACGTGCACATACAGCGTTTTTTTTTTCATGCAACCGCGATTTATCGAATACTCAATGCGGCCCAGCCTCACTCAGACTTTATCTAATGTGGCCCCCAGGTAATTTGAGTTTGAGACCCCTGCTTTAATAGATCTATGAAGACAAAACAAAATACATGTTTTGTCTTAGTTTATTTGTTATTACGTTGCCATTGCTGGTAGGAAAACATAGGTACAAAATGGCTCCAATCAGTCACTCATAACTGTGAAAGCTTATACAATATGGCGCTCACAATGGACTTGATGAGCATCCAAACCACAAGTGCATTATCTGCTCCGATCAATATAGTGGACCCCGGAGGTACTGACGATGAAAAGAACTTGTTTTGTCATTTTGGAGCAAACTGCTGTAGGCCTACACTGCTCCAGAAGCACAGAGTGAATACCAAGCACTTTGAAATGTGCTGACACTGAAGAAGACACGGCACAGGGATTGTGCCAGGAGTATGGATTTTGGGAGGAGCAGATGATTTCTTTCTTTGATGAATAACCAGAGATATTACTCCCTGCAATGAGATCCATCTGAACCAGGGTAAAGGGGAAGTATGGTTAAGTGGCTGATATAGAGGGATGTAGGACAATAGAAAAAAAAACAACTACTAGAGTACTATTAATTCTTCTAATTCTTCATCGGATACCTGATTAAACTACTGTAGGTGGAAGTGATGTGCAATACTACTGACTGTTGGTCCAATATGACACCAAGCAATACTATGGCAATTATTGCAATACAGATCTGATACTTATACCAACAGATACCAATAAGTTGCAAATTAAAGGACACTTTAATACACAAAATGTGAGCTGTCCACCAGGTTATTGTTGGCTTTTCAGGTCACAGCCCCTAACACAGATAAGAGGCAGCTAAAATGCAGATTTTGTTGCAGTATAGTGAGTTATAGGTTGTGGTCACTTATAGAAATGATCAGGTTCAACATTTGTCACTTTACCTTTTGGATATTACAATGGAAAGCACAAGTACCGTAAGTATAGTGTTTATAAAGTGTTGGAAAAATTTGGAAAAAAATCAACTCTAAATTGGTTCTTTGCAGTGACATCATGCTGGGGGTGTTCTAAATATATCTGTATTGGCAGAATGTTGATTAGTTACCATGGTGACAATGCACACAGTAGCAAACATTATCAAAAGGTTTTCAGAAAACTCAAGAAAAAAATACTAAATGAGTCTGTGATCAATACGAGCGTTCATGGTCCTGAATTGAAAAACAGATCAGCTCACCTGTTGTAGTTCCCTCTAAACCAGCTCCTTCTGGTCAGATTGCATTAAATTAAAGCTCAGATTAAACTCTAATTTGAGTTTCAGACAGAGTAATCCTTACAGTTAGCATCACGGCCCAAAGGAATGTCGTATCAATAAATAACTGCAAAGCGATTCCTGCCCCACAGTTTGCAAAACACAGATTTAAAACCGATCATTTTGCAGCAGTCTCCTATTTCCTCCCTTATCTTCCCAATCAAATTATAATCCGCGTGTGATGCTGCTCGTGTCTGGGGGTGGCCTCACTTATAGACTCAGATCCACTGTGTTGATTGGGGTCGCCACCCAAAAGGCAGGATATGCTAAATCTGCTTCGGCGGGGAGATTGAAGTACCCACCAATTACTAAAGTGGACATTCAGTGGCCGACAGTCTCAGCAGTGTCCCGCAGGGCTAAGCACAGATCTCCAACAACAAGTCACATCCATTTAAGAGCAGCATTGATTATGGGCTGCCTACGGCCCGGAGATGACACCCACTCAGTGCTGAAGAACTTATTTGTATGTTGCTGGTGGCGCTTATAGGGTGCGGATGGACAGCTGTAGGGAGTTGATTTGTGAGGTTTTCAACGTGACTGAAATGTACATAAACATAAAAGTGTACGTTTTGTGCAATTGTGACATGGATTTTCTGAGTCAAGTTGAGACTTGAAAGACTTGAGACTTGTGGATGTTAGCTCGATCTTGCAGACTTTTAAACTTTTGAAATGATTGAACGTTTGCTTTGCTTGTTCAAACTGTATGGTTTTCAACTGATTGTGAGTTCGTCAAATTGCAAATGATTTTATTGCTGGAAAAACAACTTACAGGTTGGTGTTGCCTCCCCTGGCATCACCTTGCATCCATACAGATTTGATTAATGTCAAACTGTGGGATATTTTAGGCAAAGCAATAGCAAATCTATATAGAGACAAGCATCATGAACCAGAATAGTTACATAGTGTGCCTTTAAGTTTGCCTATTTTCTTCCGTAATACAGTACTGAAAAGATGTTTGTCTAGCACTGTCAAGAAGTACATTTTCATTATGTATTTTAAACTTGTGGTATTGATAATTTTCAGGCTCAAAGTGAAATTTGGGGTGATATGGACCTGGCCCTTTTTGAAATGCTCTTGCTTCAACGTGGATAACTCAGGATAAACAATAAATGACTCCTCACTTTTGATGTCCCCAGGTGGCTGGAATCAAAGGCATGTTTTTAGCCAACAAAAGGATGGACAACCAGGTGAAGACGTACATCACCTACAACCGCGGGCGAGACTGGAGGCTCCTGCAGGCGCCCAGCAAAGACCTGCGCGGAAACAACATCCACTGTGCACTGGTGAGACCCATACTTTTACATAAACAAGGAGAACTACAGAGGGGTGTAAAGCATTGCAAATCCATTTTACAAAATAAACACTTTCCAAAGGGCTGCAGAGAGACCATAAAAAGACAACAACGAAATTGGTAACGCTACGCTTAATTGTCCTAAAACAGTAAAACCAGTGAAAATAAAATAAAAGCAAAACTATAATATTGTATAATAGCAATAAAAAAGTAAAGTAAATAAAAATAAATAAAAGACACAGAGGACCACACCAATTACATATGCTGTGTTTAAAGCCAGAGAACAAGAGGAAGTCTTAAGTCGAGACCTAAAGCACTCCAGTTCGTTCCACTACATATAGTCTGTACTCAAGCGCAAAATAGTATTACCTGGGTAGAAATACAAAGGAGGGTAAAAAGTATTTGGGGAAACTACTACTCAAGAAAGGCTAAGTGTAAGAGTAACTGTCGGGATGTTACTTCTTATTTATAATGACAAACTGTTAAATAATAACGGAAGAACAAACATTAAATCATATTAAATACTCTGCAACATCTGGTATTTTCAATAGATGAACCACAAACATGAGGAAAAAAATGCATAAAGTATCCTACCTGCATGACTGAAGGATTACTACTCAAGTGCATGTAACTTAAAATATTAACAATGTTTAAAGTAAGTAAATAGTAAGTAATAAAAAGTACTACCCACCTCTGCATCCCTACTGTATAGATGTGTGGATGTGTTTTCACTTTGTCAAGGAAAGGGCCTTGAGAGGAGCAGACTGACTGGAGCTGCCGTCAAAGCTGAGTGCTCTGAGTCCAAAGGGCAGTCACTTTGATTCAGTCCAATGAGCTGACCTCCCATTTAGCAAACAGAGACGGAGAAGGGGTGTGTGACAGGAACACAAAGGCCCTTTTCACTGCCAGGTGTCTCTGAAGTTATGTTTCATGTAAGAATTAGAGTGCACAAGTTTGACAAAGGTGACACGTCCCAGCCAAGGCTTCCTTAGCTTTGCATAAACATGTCTTGTGTGATGGAAGATATATTGTATTCTAGTGTTCATGATCACAATGCTGATTTTGATATCAAGGTATAGACTCAATACTCAGTACTGATTTAGAAAAGTCTGGTCCATGGGCATATACTAGTTGGTAAGGTCTTATACTTGTTCTGCTACAGCTCAGTATCATTCTAAAGCTATTCATGTAAGGTTTATTTCTGTCCTGTTAATGTTTTTTTGTTTTTGTTTTTTTAATCAATACGTACTCAAATATAGTATTTAATTTAGAAACAGATTGTAGTATGGATATCGATCTTATTTTTGATATTTTTCACAACATTACTGTGTTCATAATTTTAAGTCTAAAAATGAAAAAGATCATTATTTTCATTGGTGTGATACTTAAAGTAAGATTGCTTAACTTTCCGAGGATGGCATGTCACCTGCATCATTCCATCAAAATAGAAAGCAAAAACCATACTTCGAACATTCTGCATGGAGATAGATGCGTCTAAACTGTGGAATATTATAGTCTGTGTTCCATGGAAACAAGCAGGAGGGAGCCCTGAAGAAATAATAAAGTCATAATGACCAAAGAATTAAGAATGATTCAGGCTTAGCAACTACTTATCTAACTCCTAACTCCTTAATTAAGTAATTGCTGAGGTACTGAGGGCCTGTATTACGCTGTTTTCAGATATATGTTATAATGTTGCTTTCTCTCCCCAAACATGGAGTTGTATTTTGTTTCATACACACACATTCACCGAGTTTTTTTCTTATACAGTAAACACTCTGTTCCACTTTGTAATGTGAGGTGGTAATACAGGAAGTGCTCCACTATGTTTTTAAACTCCATTTGTTTGTGCTAGAATCATTTAGATCATTTCAGCTTGGATTTGCCAATGTCAACTGAACAAAAGGTTTAAGGTGCTGTATTTTCCACACTATTAGGCGCTCTGGATTATAAGGCGCACTGTCAATGAATGGTCTATTTTTGAACTTTTTTCACAAATAAACCACACCGGACTTTAAAGGAAACACAGCAGTTAGATGGGTCAGTCGGACTTTGTTTGGTGTGTTCACGGTGACATTTTGTCACGCTTTGTTCAATTGTGGCGTGTACGGAGGGTGCGTGTTTGTGTGCGCTGCGGGTGGTGTGGCTTTGTAGTTTACTGAAGTCATTCTGGGACACCGAGTGGATTTGTGTATAGGGTGCTCTGGATTTTGGCGCAGTCGTTTTTTGATGGAGTTGGAGGCTTAAGAGCGTGCCCAATAGTGGAAAATACGGTAACTGTTAACTTGAAAACTATTGCTTCATGACATCACAAAGTGGAACAGACCATTTTGAGCTTCAGAAATACAGACAGACTAATAATAAAGGATTACTCAAACATGTGTGAATGAAACAAAACACAACTCCAGGTATGTTTTTAGGTAACAGCATTCTAACATTTAGAGTCAGTTATGTGTAATATAATTCTTTTAGAATTGTTTTATGTATGAGTTCTTCCTTATGAATTCAGTCTTTTCAGTTAGAAAGTAAGAAAGTGTCTGCTGCCTATTTTAACACAAAGCAAAGAATGTTTTATATAATGCATTTGCACAGCTGCCTTCACCTCCATTTGTTCACCTAAGCATTACACCCTCACATTAACGCATTAGAGGAAACTCCTCATACAAATAACTCACATCTGATAAACCAATTAGCCATTCAGTACTGTACCTTCTGGTTTGTGTTATACAGTTATTTGTCAGAAAATGTCAAAGTTTTAATAAACCTCCAACACAGCGAGTAACAACACTGGCATACTGCATACTGGCATTTGGCTGCCTCGTAATGAGAATTGTGTCTGTAAAGGTTAACCCAATCAAAATTAATGGTGAGACCGGCCAGTGGGGAAATCTGGTCGGGGATAAAAACTTGAGTGTTGCGTCCAAGACTTCGTAACTGTAATTTTCTTATATTGGAATTTTTATGTTTTGGTAGTATGGTATGATTCAACTCGACAAGGTTGTTAAATAACTTCAGTTTTCTTTCAACAGCCTTATTGCTCGTTACATCTCCATCTGCATGTTTCGGCAAATCCCTACACATCTGGAAACATCGCGAGCAAAGAGTCAGCGCCGGGACTCATCATTGCATCAGGTGAGTGAGATCTTCCTTGTGGTGTTTTTTTTTAAATTGATAATAAATAAACTAAATAATTTTTGGATGAGAAACCATGCAAATATTATCACGACATTACCGCTACAACTTTTTCTTTTTTAAACCAGATGTATTGCAGTCAATTTTTATTCTGCCCCATCCACTTTTGCTACAGTTACTAATTCGCTCTAACGTTGTGGTCAGCCATTTAAGCGGGAATCCTTAAAGGTGCACTATGTAACTTTTTGGCTGGGGGTCTGTCATCTTCTTGACTCTATGGATATGTCGTTGCTCTGCTTGGTATGTTCTGTAGTATGACGTTAAACAGTTTTATATCTCATAAATACCTAGAAAAACAGGCATTCTGACTGTGAGGAGTTTTGCCTCTCCACAGATCTGACCTGGTTTAGTCTCTATAAAGATACCACACATACCATACTGCGAAACATTTTAGACAAAGCAATAACATCTCCATGGAGAAAAGCACCAGAAAAGGTACACAATGCACTTTTAACATTTAAACAGCTGTAGTTTTTGATTTGGGCAAGGTGGTCAGCTACCAGCATTGCCCGAGGGGAGGCATGAGTAGGAGACTGGTATTTTTTTAGTTTATTTGTTTAAAATGTCCAATATCAACAAGTCAACAATACTTGAAAACAGCTGGCTTGAAAACAACTTTGCAATCTGTAGTAGAAAAAAAAATTCAATGGTAGTCATTTGAACAATGTGTCTGAAATTGAGACGATACGATCTTCAAAAGATATTTTCAAAAGCGCAATGATGTACTAACATAGGGTTCCAAAACCATATCCATCCAGTTTCCTTTTCAAAACCAAGCATTTATTCTTTCTTCGAACACAATTTAAAGTGTCATGCTAACTTGAATAGACAAAGAGCATAAAATCACTTAGACAACACAGAAAGACAAAAGCTCCCACCAGTTTCTCTCGCTGAAAATCTCCAAACACCTCAACCCAACAACATAGACCACAGCGGTGTCTAATCCTCTTTTCTTGCTTTTCCATATAAATCTCTACATTGTTTGTTCCCCACGGCGTATGACAGCCGGCATGTGTCACTTCACCTTTCATTAGGGCCAAATGGCAGGACTGAGCTGCAGAGCCTGGAAATGTACCAGTCTCGCACAAAAAACAACAGTCTCATAGAGTTAGCTTTAGAGAAGAAATAAAGGAAGAGGGAAGGAGAGCAAAAGTGCAATATGTGTCCGCTGCCCCCAGGTGGATTCACAGCTCAGTGATATTTACTCAGCGTGTGCCTGCATTGTCAATAACACATCAGCACCACGCGGCAAAGATGTCCCAGGAAGGCCAGGCCAAAGCACAAACAAAGATGGAGGACATTTTGAGACTATTCATGAGCTCCAGCTTTCTGTTATATGCAACATTCTCAAAACCTTCTAAAGATATACAGTATAATAATTTGTTTTACATTGTTCATTATTATTGCAATGGTCCTCATTTTTTTGTTTGTTTGTTTTTTATTGTCTTTGTGAAATCTATGGATGCACAAATCATACAGCATTAGACCAAAGCATAGAGTGTGGAGTGTGGAGAATGGCCATAGCTAATCTGTTATATTTAAGGAAAATTTTCATGTGAGAGGCTTGTGGGCTGAGCGTCGGACAGAATCTTACAACTAACTAGGTGTAGAAGCTCTAGTCGTCCAGGTAAAATCCATGGCAAAGGAGAAATTCAATTTGTCAACTGGACAAATGTTTATTTACCTACTAACACTTTAAGACAGAAACTGGTCCACCCAAAGGACAAAATACAAAGCCATAAACACAGCAATGTTGTCTACTCCATTCAGACTAGGGAAGACTGCAGTGAGCGCTATATTGGAGAAATGAAACAGCCACTTCACAAGAGTTGAAACTGTGATGTACCAACACAGACGAGAGAGCAGCAGTGGTCCTCAGTCTGCAGTACATCTCCATCTAGAAGCCACAGGACACTCTTATGAGGATAGTGACATACAGATCTTAGCCAGAGAAAAGAATTGAGGTTTGACAGGGGAGTTAAAGAGGATTTTTTGTTAAGAAAGCAAATCCCTCCTTGAACAGAAATAAAGGGCTCAGACATCATCTGTCTCCAATGTACAACTCCATCCTCAAACCTAAAACAAAGAGAACAGGTCAAGTCAGGGCCATAGGTGGGAAAAACCCTCATTTTGGGCCTGAATGATTATGTTAATATGTCCCCTCCCTCAGGACAGATGAATAGATCTAGCTAACAAAGAGAAACTGTAAACAAGTAGGGTGTTAGTTCCAGAGTAGTTTCAGTGTAGTTAGCTCCTCCCTGTAGGCAGATATAAGGAAGTGTTCACCAGCATTCAGACCAGAACTGAAGAAGCAGCTTGGATGAGCTTTGAAATGTTTTCAACCTAAATAAACTTTTGTCCAGTTGACAAATTGAGTTTCTCCTTTGCCACGCTTACAGCTAAGTGTAAGGAGGAGTCAAATAGGGCCTGAGAGAGATTGCAGAATTACTGAAACATGCACTGATGACACTAAAAACCTCTAAAAAGCATATTTTTTAATGAGAGAACATATAGCATGACATAGAAAAAAGTAGGGCTTAACAAATTACATTTGATTAATTCATTGGAATGAAGAAATAGTGACTTTTCCCAGTTACTAGAGAGTAGACAGTACTAACCTCTATTTAAATAATTTTATCCTTTTCTAATAATTGCACATTGCTAAGTCTAGGCATACAAGAAACTGCATTTTAGCTGTGGTCAAATTATAGTTTCTTTCTTTCTTTTTTAACACTCAAGGAGTAAAACAGAAATCTGTTAGCAGTGCAATCTTTCATGTTTTATGCTTCCTATCTAAGGCAAGCTAATAGGGCTCAGCACACCTCTGCAGAAGTGTCCTGCCCCAGCCTCATGTTGAACCACCTGCCTCCAATTACGGCTAACTGAAAGTCATTAGAGCAGGGAACCTGTCTTCATGCGACGCTGCAGCAGAGACCAATGTAATGTGGATTTATTGGTTCATTTCAGGGTGCGGATGTGTGAAGTGTGAATGTCACTCCACATGCTGCCATAACCAGCTCTGACCAGCCTTTTTAACAAACATGCACTGAGAGGATTTAAAATGACCTGAAATCCAAATTCGCTTGGAGTAGTTTGGTGTAAAATATTCTTATTTGTTTTCAGGATCTATCGGGGGAGAGCTGACGACCACAAACGTCACTGTGTTCATCACGTCAGATGCAGGCAACACATGGAGACAGGTGAGAAGGATCACGCTTTTCTGTTTCCTTACCTACCTACAAATCCATCAACCAATCAATCAACTAATCAATCACACAACCAACAAATCAATTTAAGACCTTGCATTTATGCTAAGAGTTCTCATAAAATTTCCAAGAGAGGCCTCCAGGGGGCATCCAAACTTTATATGTGAATGAATGATTCAAAGTGCTCTTGCCCTTTTTGTCCCTTCATTTTACAGTATTTATTGTAATAGTGTATGAGAACTAGGGATGTAATGACATGCAAATCTTAAGGTACAACAGTGTTACAATATTAATTTCACAATAATAGTTATTGTGATATTGTAAAGCTACTTTTTCCTTTTAAAAACCTTGACAAGCCTTAGGTGCTATATTACTGTCATATTCCAAAGTATGAAGATAGTGAAGTTCAATGTTATTTTTACATACGGTCCGCACTGAAATGGAGCAAAACATCCTGGTCTATGTTCCATGGTGTATGTATCCAGCTGCTGCTGCAACAAAACAATGCATTTAGGCAAAAAAGTTTCTAATTCAATATATTACGATGGCCCATGATATTATTGTGTATCTCAATATTTCAGTTATTGTTACATCCATAATGATAACATATAATTTACATATTTGAAAGGCTTAAGGTCAGCATAAGGGTTTGAATTACTGTATTTTTTAGACTATAAGTCACATTTTTTTTCATGGTTTGGATGGTCCTGGGACTTATACTCTGGTGCCACTTATATATTATAATTTTCACACTGACAGCCACAAGAGAGCACTCTAGACTTGTGTGTCAGTATCTGCTGCTCCTATTACTCCTGTACCACTTTCACTTCACTCTACTGCGCATTTCTCCTGCAGAAAGAGACACTGTCCTTTCTGGGATCATGTCAGTCAATCTCACCATTACTTCTGTACCACTGAAAATTTTAAATTTATGTGACTTTGACATAGCATGGACTTAAAGGTTGTATAGAGGATTTTCCAAGGAATGAGAAATCCAGGGACTGTTTGTCGTTTTTCAAATGTTGCGCATGCGTGAAACCAACTCCCTCCCCCCACAGCTCCATACGTAGAAACGCCTCCCCCCTCCTCCTCCTTACGCCAGAAACAGGTTTGTTTCTAGAAAACAAGTACTCATCGCTGCAAATGACTTGTAAACAACTAACTACAGTGTTGGTTAGGCAAGGTGGAGAAGTGAGGAGCGGGGGGAGGGGGTGCGCGGAGATTCCGTGCGCGGAGAAGAAGTGATTAGCAGGGGGAAGAGCGGAGCGGGGAGAGGAGAGGGGAGCGGTGCAGAGAAGGGTGCGATTCCGTCCGAATGAACTAGCTACAACACACAGCAGCAAGCGGGCTCTTTCTTTGCATTGAAAATTACGTTTTCAGACATAGGATATCGCATTCGTGTCCTGAAAAACGTTTGTCTAGCTCTTGGAAATAAAGTATGTTTTCATAATAAGCAGAAGTGACCTGTCCAGGAGTAATTTGGCGACCAATGCGTCAGTCTTTAGACCCTTCGTCTGCTTCAGTCGCGCCATCGCTGGAATGAATCTTCAAGAATCACGTTAGTTTGGCTTCGCTGCTTTTCCCCTTGTCTTCTTCTTTCAGCGACCTCAAAAACGGACTTTCTTTTGCGGCTAACTGCTCCTGGATTCTTGTCGCCATTGCAACAAACTTTGTGCTAACTGCGAGGAAGATATAGGTAAAAAAAGCCGCTAAGAACTGTTGCGTTGGTGGAGTAAACAGCGTCTGTGCGGCTTGCGTCTGTGGACTGCGTGACAGGCGTACGTAAACCACGTAACGGCAGCGCGCAGGCAGGTCAGTTACGCTAGAAACGTAGGGAGTTTGATTGACAGCCTGTCAGCTCACAGATAACGAGGCAATGTCGTTATCTATTGGCAAATGTTTAGCCCCACCACGTCCAGAGTTGATGAATTTTTATTCTATTTTTTTTGGTCATCATAATTACAAGGCTACTGCACCTCTATAATGCTATCATTGACAACTTGAAACCAAAAAAATCCTCCATACAACCTTTAAGTGACAACTGAAACCATCCTGTTGGGATTCAGAAAGAACAGAATAATTGTAACTGTTGTTCTCTATTCTATCTAGATGAAATGTCCGTTCCTGGTCTCTGATTTTATAAAATAAATTTCCCTCCCAAAAGTGCGCTTATAGTCTGGTGCAACTTATATATAGTTTTTTTCTTCTTCATTATGCATTTTTTGGCTGGTGCGACTTATACTCTGGAGCGACTTATAGTCTGAAAAATATGGTACATGTTATTACAAGTAGTAATAGATGCAGTAGATACATTGTGTTATGGGTATACAGTAGTGTTGATTGTATGATTTTCATTTTGCATTTCAGAAATGACTAGATTCAAAAGATGTCATGTCTTGTCAAATTATTTGAACATGCCCCTCCCTCACACCCTTTCCTTCAAAACATCTCAGTAACATACATTTGGACATATTTATAATTTCTATACATTTGCTTTATTAGTATTACCATGAGCATTTAATGTAGTCAGGACTATAGTATCAACACACATTTTCATCTTTCATCATCAGAACACATTTATATATCTTGAAAAGCATTTCTATTAACTGCATAGAATTAACCCCTTTTCAATGACTTATTGAAGCATATGTGGATGACCATGACATTATGGCCCCTGACCAAACAACCACCTTTTTCTATAGCTTTTCTATCCCCTCTCACTTAATACTAATCTGCAGTCTTTTAATCACCGTACTCTTGTCTCTGTTCCTTATGGTCGATAATCAAATCTCAAAGGTAATTTAATTCAGTGGCGCTATGAGACACGAGTGGGTGGCCCTTTCCACTCTTGATCTTGTCGCTTGTAATTTAGAGGGCTTGTTTCTGATTAAACACAGCAATGAAAAATAATGATGTTGAAGGTAATATCATGAATGTATATAGTCCACGGCAGGTGCGCTGTGGAGTCGGATATTATTTCTATTACAGGCTCCCAGGATCCCAACGGGAGCTGGGGCTGCAGAATTGCCTCAATTTAACTCATTTAAAACTTTAGAAATGTTTGATTTTTGCTGGCACAGAGAAGAATAAAGTGAGAAGTGTTATTATTAAAGCAAATATAGTACGTTCACATTCAAGAGGCCAAATATGCTATTATATATGCAAGTCCATATTAGACTACCAATTTCACTAAAACGTGGTTAACATAATCATATTTAAAGGGGCAGTTCAGAATTTTGGACATAGGGCCTCATTTTCCAGTGGTCCAGAATGCAGTAGATGTGTGCAGACAAATAATCCATCCAGTCCTTGTATTTGCAGAGGTCACTGGTGTTAGGCTACTGCAAGTCAATGGCCACTGTTAACCTGCCACTAAAAACAATCTTTCCCACTCCACAAAGCACCCACAGCAAATCTATAATTACGCCAGCCTGTCAATGTGAATGTCTGTGTCAATAGAATAATTTTACAAGTAAAACCAACCTTGCATTTGAAGGATTTATGTCTGAGCAGTAGCAGTGAGTTGTACTTCCTGATAGAAAGCTTGGCAGTGGCGGACTGATATCACCTATCACCTGTCTTATTGGCTCTGTAATAGTTTGTTTACCTGCAGTTGCCATAGCGACACATAGAGCACATGAAGACGTCTGTTCCAGATATGGTCATGTTCATATCATCAAAACTAACTAGAGCAGAGTAAAATCCGGCTGCTGCTGAAAAAATAGTCCCTCAAAATGCGATACAAGGCTAGTTGTACTTCTAAAATGATTCTATTGACACAGACATTCACATCGACAGTCTGGCATAATAATAGATTTGCCTCGCGTACACTGTGGAGTGGGTAAGACTGTTTCTAGTGGCAGGCTAACTATGGCCATTGACATGCACTAGCCTAGCACCAGTGACCTCTGCAAATACAAGGACTGGATGGAATATTTAAAAAAGTGTCTCCACACATCTATAGCACTGAAATGAGACCCTATGTCCAAAATTCCGAACTGTCCCTTTAAGGTTTCATAAACATGTAGAGGTAGGCCTAATGCCATAACTGTCACCTAGCAACCTTGAAGTTATCAAGAGCCCAAACTTGTCTAAACTGATTAATGATACTTTGCTTTGACATCATGCTGGAAGTGTTCTACATGTATCTGTATTGCGGAATGTTTGTTACCATAATGACACAATCCATACAAACACTGTCCAAACAAGATCAGAGAGGTCAAGAAAGAAGTCTGAAAACTCAAGAAAAAAATACATAATGGGTTAAAGCAGGGGTGTCAAACTCATTTTGGTCCGGGAGCTGTATCCAACCTACTTTGATCCCAAAGGGGCCAGATCAGAAACTCATGGGGGGGGGGGGATCCTGCACTTGGCGTCCACTTTTCTCATTTTTGACATTTTGCTGATGAGGATGCGTCAGTCAACAGTGAAAATGATCATCCTTTAAGAGTGTTTGGAAAGAGCCAAGTCTTCATTTGTGCTGCTCTGGTGGGAGGGGCCACGCACAGAGGCACTGGAGACGCTGCTATGCTGCAGAAAATTACCAATATTTTAATAGAAAATATTTTAGTAGAAAATCAGCCGAGGCCCAGATTAAAGGTCTTGGACGGCCGGATCTGGCCCCCAGGCCGTATGTTTGACACCCCTGGGTTAAAGCCTTAACAGAGCTTCAAACAGAGCAGTGCCTACAGTTAGCATCAAACCCTCACCAAATGTTGATGACATCAGCTGCAAAGTATCATTTGAGCAATATTTATTATTTGAGTATTTATACAAATGACTTCCTTGCATGTTCATTCTCATTGCCTTTATTTATTTTTTAAACTTCTTTTTTTTTTTGTAGTTACAACTATAAGGTCGCAGGTTCAGTTCTAAAACTGTCTTTGTGCTTTTTGTGTATGGAGGGAGTTTCATGCTAAAATAAGGTTACAGTCCACCATGTTTTGTGTCAGCTATGTACACTGTATTCTGTAGGCTGGTTATGCATGTTTGTGTCGGTATGTTGACATTAGGACATTTGTTTTGCCATTGCAGATCTTCACTGAGGAGTACGCGCTGCTGTTTCTCAACCAAGGAGGAGCCCTAGTCGCCATAAGGCACACTCCGCAGTCCATCCGACACCTGTGGTACTTACTTTTTTATTACAACAACAAGCTGCATCTGTCACAACATTATTATTATTGTCAATTTGCTTTTCAGGCTTAACGCTATAACACTTAAGGACTGGGATAAAAACAAAGAATTTACATTTGTTTCATTTCTATGATTCAAACCATGCTGCATATACTGCAACTCAAACTAATGATTGTTTCAGATTAGTTGACTAGTCAAATAGTTATTTATATTGTACAATGAGATATATTTTTAATACAATACAAGATTATTTTTTTTAAACTATGGTGACTCAAGGCTTCTAGATATGAGTTATACATTTATTTATTTTAATATTTTGATATGTATAAAGAAAAAATTGAAATAGTTTATTCTTTTTACATTTTTATTTCATCATGGCAGGCCTTTGTTATAAATGGTTCTTTGTTTAATGGTACTATTACATAAAATTGACTCATGAGTTTTAAGTTATGTTAAAATGTTGTTACCTCATCAAAAACATACCTGGAGTTGTTTCATACACACATGTTTGAGAAATACTTGTGAAGTGCGGCTTTCCACTTTGTGAAGTCATGAAAGAGTATTTTTCAAGTTAACATATCCTTTACCTTTAGTTCAGTGGAGATCGGTAATTCCAGAGCTGAAATCATCCAAAATGTGTATGAAGTTTAAAAACACAATGGAGCACTTCCCGTATTACCACATGAGATCACAAGGTGGAAGAAAGTCTTTTCTATTTGAGACAAGAACTCAGACTAAATATGCAGGGTTTGTGCGTAAAAAAAAAGTGTGAATAAAACAAAACACAACTCTGGGTATGTTTGTGATGAGGAAACAACATTAAAACATACCTTACCAAAATTAAGATGACAAACTTGTCACGCTTATTCTGATTTACTCTTGCTGTCATTTGATTCACTTTCATTCATGTTAAGAATACCATCAGTGATTACAAATGTGACTTTAGATCTTTTCCATACAGTTTCACCTTTTCTTGTGTAGCTGTATGTGCTATGGGATTAACTGCCATCTCTGTACAGGATCTGAAATGAAGCAGTAGACACTAGACAGCTCTGGGCTCATTATTTTGTGCTCACATGTTGCAGATATGGTCCATATACTGAACATTTGTATGTTCTAGGCTGAGTGTGGACGAAGGGAGACAGTGGAACAAGTACAGCTTCACAAACACGCCGCTGTTTGTGGACGGGGTGCTGGGTGAGCCCGGAGAGGAGACGCTTATCATGACGTGAGTACTACACAAACAAGGAAATACTATCACATATTGGTTTAAAGATAATGCTGATCCACAACATGAGGAAAGCAGGCACTGTGGATGCATATGTTTACACAGAGGTTGAACGAACAGTTTTACTCAAGATTGAATCACGTGGTAGTTTTCAAGTTAACAGCTACAGTTTACTTTTCATTCAGCAGAGATTGGCAATTTCTGGCCTGAAAGTTTCCAAACGATTCTGGTTAAGGTGTATGGTGAAGTACTTCTTGTATTATCTCATGACATTACAAGGTGGAGTCTTTTCTATTTAAGAGAAGAACACAGTCTAAATATGCAAGATTTGTGTTTAACATGTGTGTACGATACAAAATGCAACTCCAGGTATGTTTTTGATCAGAAAATATAATAAAGTGGGCCCTTTAAACATAAAATCGATCTCCATTCTTCAACAAATTACAACTCATTAAATGTTGAATAGTATAACAACCATGTTAATGACATGTTAAGCTACTCTATTCTTGTAAACGAGTCAATTCACTCCCCCAGATAGTATATTATAAAATCAAATCACTGTGTCTGCATCTAACTTTTAAGTATTTTATCAAACATAGACTTAGAAAGAAAAAAAAAGACTTCATCTTAAATGATTTGCAGTGATTGAAAGTTATTCGTCATTTTCCTAACTCCTAGCATCGTAATTAATTCACAGTGATGAGTTTATAAGCACTTTTCATGACTTTCAACTTTCAGAGACTGTAAACCTAACAATAACTAGGATGCTAACAGCACATTTCTTGATTTATAAATCGTCCACAAACAGGGAGTGTGCTATAAGCATGCTAGTGGTTCTTAACATTGCCTTATTATTTGCTTATAAACTAGTTGTGCTTTTCTCTTGTTTAGGACAGATACAACGCCTTTAAGCTGAAAAAATGCACAGTTTGCTGTTTCAAGATGAAGTGTCAGTATTTTTGAAGGATTTGATCGTAGAATTTTGGCTAATCTTGTCAGATGTAGTGTTGCAAAATTATTCCTGTGCATGGAAGCTATTTCCATATATCACAGTAACAATATTTGCACTATTTTTGCACTCGTAGTTTATGCTGTGTGAGCTAAGCCTCTGTCTGCATCTCTATCTAAGCCTGCTCAATTCAGCCCTCCCAACTGTTCCTGTATATTTTATATTTTCCGTTTCATGAATAAAACAGCTTTCCTTCAAGGTCTATATCCAACTTCAAAAATGCTCTCCCCACACAAGCATCACAGGAGATCCACACACTTGATGAACAGGATGGCAAATTATGACAACATGCATAAAAGGAACTTGAGAAATTACACAGGAACATATAATCTTGTGGTAATTTTATATTTCGCGTGGACTTGACTTACATTGATTTTTAATGTCGTCACAGTAGGAGAGCAGTATTTCAGAGTGGAGTTTGCCTGTCTGCTCTGTGCTTCTGTGCTTTCTCATCCTGAGTTTGAATTTGCAAATGTAGATTGCCTGTAGTGCTTCACTGGTTGTCTCTCATTATCTGAAAGTATTAACTGGCCATAGTCCCGAGTGTGCCTCACCTTTCATCAAAAACAGGTTCAGCTCCACTGCCAAGACTCATAAGGGAAAAGTGCTTGGAAATTAATAGTTGTCATTGTTGCATAATCTTCGATCATTTTAGCATTTTGGCGCACTGAAGAAACAAAGTATTGAAGCTAGTGTTGTCATAATCATTTCAGACATGATATTAATACCATGGAAAAGTCTTGGCTGGGGGTCCATCACCTGCTTGTTTCCATGGATGTGTCATTTCTCTGCTTGAAATGTTCCACAGTATGATATTAAATAGGTCTGTCTTACATTTATACAATTCCAGGTGGTTTATAGCTCAAAAATACTGGCAATTCTGACTGTGAGCAAGGTTGCATTTACACAGATCTGACCTGTAAGTCGGCCCGGTTTGGTCTCCATGAAAGGTTTAATACCATACTCTGAAACATTCCAGACAGAGCAATAACATCTCCATGGAGAAAAGCATTTGACATACACTCCACCAGAAAAGTTACACAATGCACCTTTAAAGGGACACTGGAATTTTGGACATAGGGCCTCATTTCCTAGTGAGCCAGAGTGTTGGAGACGTGCAGAGACACTTTTTAAAATATCTCATCCAGTCCTTGTATTTGCAGAGTCTAGGCTAGTGCATGTCAATGGCCATAGTTAGCCTGCCACTAAAAACAGTCTAACCCACTCCACTGTGCACCCGAGGCAAATCTATTATTACGCCAGACTGTTGATGTAAATGTCTGTGTTGATATAATGATTTTAGAAGTAAAACCAACCTTGCATTTGAAGGATTTATGTCTGAGCAGCAGCAGTGAGTTGTACTTCCTGACAGAAAGCTTGGCAGCAGCGGACTGATATCACGTAGCACCTATCTTACCAGCAAAGTAAAAGTCTCTTGCTGCTGAGAAAATAGTCCCTCAACATGTGACAATTCACGTGATGCAAGGTTAGTTTTACACAAACATTTACATCGACAGTCTGGCGTTAAAATAGATTTACTTCGGGTGCTTTGTGGAGTGGGTAAGACTTTTTTAGTAACAGGCTAAATATGGCCATTGACATGTGTTAGCCTAGCACCAGTGACCCTGCAAACACTCTGTAAATACAAGGACTGGGTGGAATATTTCAAAAAGTGTCTCCACACGTCTCCAACACTCTGGCTCACTAGGAAATGAGGTCCTATGTACAAAATTCTGGACTGTCCCTTTAATAATAAATGCCATTAGAATAGAATGTAAAGCAATATTTAGATAAGCGTTTTGTCTTCTTTATGGAGAAATTCTTGTTGGACTGGCAATTGGCACAAAAACACAACAAAAGACAACAGACAATAGACAATAGACAGTGCAGTCACATTCACAACACCGTGAGCACACAACATTAATCCACAGAACCAACAAGATTTGATATAATACAAATTCTCAAATAATTCATCAATACGTTTTCTAATTATAACAGTGTGAACAATAGAAAAATGTGACAGGGATTACATTTTTTTCTGTTTTGTTACCAAGTAGAGCAATTTTGAGTCATTGTATTAATAACTGTTTGAATACATTTCAAGCTTATTCTCACCCAGGGTAGCTCCTAGTTTCGATTCCCGGACTGATTCAGATTCAGAGAACGTTATTAATCCTACCAGGGGCAATTAGTTTGAGCAGTAAAAAAAACAAACATTCAACACATGGAGCAATTCTGAACAACGAGGAGCTCAGGGGTCTCATAAAAGATCTCATCTATGTAGAATTTAAAAGGTGAATGGCAGTAGGAATAAAAGATTTCAAATACCTATTTTTTCTCTGGTTTTCGGTCTATAAACATATGTACTGCAGTAGGTCCCTTGTGAGCGAAGTCTCCCACGTGAATAAGGTATTGAATCTCAGCGGGACCTTCCTATTTCTATTTAACTGGATTCAACACATTTATGTCCAAGAACTGAATCTTTATCGTTGTGAGCTTTGACTAATGCCTTGACTTGGTCTGTTGGTTTTTAATCGTTTTATAATACAACGGTGGAATTTGCTGTTTAACTTTCTTTGTTGACCTGGTTTATGGCGAATATATCTGTAATTACTAGGTCTATCCACATGAGACAAAGACTGAGAAAGAGTTGAACCTCTTCTCTGTCAGCATAAATAAACCAAAGTAAAATAACTTGTTCACAATAGCCATATGATTATAATGGCATACTTGAGGATCCATAACACACAATGGTTCAGCAGTTACAATGCTGACACAATGCACACATTAGGAAACATTTTTTTTCTGGAGCCTCTGATCGATACAAACATTAAAGGTCTTGTTTAGGAGTTAGATTTTCAACAAAAAGGTGAGAGTGAAAAACTGTCGGTTAATGCTGTGGCTTGTGACTGTACCTTTATGTGCGAGAGACTGGTTTACACATTTGTAGTTCCAACTAATAAAAGCTCTTTCTGGTCAGATTGTGTTAAAACAAAACTCAAATTAAGTCTGACTTGAGTAACAGAGCTTCTAACAGAGTAGTGCTTTCAGTTAGCTTCTCACCTCCAGGGGATACTGACGACACCAACTGCAAAGTATAATTATTTTTTTCCGATAAATCCATTCCTATATATCCACCAGGAAACTTTCTTCTCACTGGAATGCTGTACTGTGACTCACATGGTCTGTAACCTCGCTCGTTCCTCTCTCTGCAGCAGTAAATTAGAAGTTATTTCGTGTTAGCAGAGGATTTCCACAGGCTTTACATCAATGTTTCATGACAAGTGCCACCAAAGACAGACTGGCAGATCTTTGTAGTGCGCCCTAAAGGAGACACACACACACACACACATTTCAGTCTGTCCCAAGTCTGTTGCAACCGGTGCAAGAGAAGACACGCCTTTAGCTTTCATAATACCACCTCTGACACTTTCTGTATATGGTATGCAAATGTACTTTTCAGAGCTAATTACAGCAAACATATTGCTTGGGGTCCAGAATCCACTTCTCTAATATTTACACAAAGTTCATGGATGTGATTGAAAGGTTGATTAGCCAGTCAGGGATATGCATGGTTCGTCAATCGATACTAAAACCAATATCAAAACTAGATATTCATTTGAGCAGGTATCGATACTAAAAAACTCACATTCACAGCACATAAACCTTAACCTTTCTTGAATATCTTTAGAATGATCTTGAGCTGTATCAGAACAAGTATTCATAGGTTTCAAGCTATGGCAACCATCCTCCATGGACAATTAAGCAAGTCAAATTAAAATAGTCTATCTTTTGAATGGGGAAAGGTCCTCACAAAGTCCAGGAAGGAGTTGTTTGTCTGAAATCAATTAATAAGACCACATAGACTAGTATACTCCTAGAGACCACTATGGAAAAGTGGATCACTGTGGGATTACATAGATATAGGGGTGTGGTAGGGGAACACCGTCACCCACTTCTCCCAATGTGAGATATAAAAAAAAAAAAACACAAAATGAACAAAAAATTAATATCTTACAACTTAAAAGTCAAACCAGAGCTATTGGCAATGGTGAAAACAACTTGCATAGGCTCATGATCAGGACTGATCCCAGGACTGAACCAGGAGGCCTAAACCAAGACGAAAACAGGATTAAAACAGGTCTAAACCAGTTCCAAACCAGGATTAAACCAGAACTGAACCAGGACTGAGTGTCGGAACGGGCCCAGAGGTGGGACTGTGTAGACTCTCGAATGACTGCAGGAGAAAGAACCGGCGCGGTGACTGCCTCAGAGCGCAGAGCTAAGCGCAGCCGTCTCCACATCGTGCTTTGCAGACACCCTGATCTGTGGACTTGTGGTTCTCACTCATTCTTAAATCCAAGATTTGTCCTGGTTTAAACCTGGTTTAGTCCCGGTTTAGTCCTGGTTTAGTCCTGGTTTAGACCAGGTTTAGTCCTGGTTTAGACCTGGTTTAGTCCTGGTTTAGACCTGTTTCAGGCTTGGGCATATGTGTTGTAGCCTATGATGTAGCTCAAAACATTTCTGTTTAACTGTGCATATAACTGAAAGGTTTTCATTCCGCACTCTTCTCTCCAATTTATGTCTCTCTTTTTTAATTTTAATCTTCATGATTATTTATGTTTTGATTAGTTTTTATTATGATTTTAATGTATTTCTTATTCTGTAAAGCACTTTGAATTACTTTGTGTACGAATTGTGCTATACAAATAAACTTGCCTTGCCTTGCCTTATGTTCTGTAGGTGATTATGAATGGCATTAACGATAATAACATGATTCCGCATCATTTTGAGTAAAAAAAAAACATCATCAAATTTTATTGATTTTTAGTAGGCTGTCACATTGATGACATCATGACTCATAACCGTAACCCCACTTAAAAATCCCCACTACACCACTGCATAGATATAACTCCACATGGTAATAAAAAAGAAAGTACTGTTATTTCATGTCGAAAATCACAATTATTGTCTAAAGAAAGAGTGTTGTTTATTATCAGTGTGGTATCGGAATCAATATTGAGTATATGTACATGTTATGTGTTGTCAGGGAAAAAACAACACACATTTGAGTAATCCACTATTCTGTACCATTCTGTGGACTTCAAATTGCTCTCATTTTCCATTTTCTAGGTCTTGTCTCATGAATTAAATCTGATTTAGCCATACCATTAATTTGTGTATACCATTTTGGACATTCAATTTCGACCTTCCCTTCCTCATTATCTACCTGTTTCTATACACAAGGCCATGTGTATTTAGCTTCATCTCTAGTGCAAAAAATACATTTCTTTTTCATAGTAGTTCAAAATCCTTGCAATACAAAGGGCCCAATCTCTTCAGAGCACAATTAAAATTTCCTGAAAAAGTTCATTTCAATTTCTGTTCCATATCTTTTTCCCCTCAGTGTCCCTGATCTTTTACACAGCACGTTCCAGCAGCACTCCAATGTCTTACAAGCCTCTCCGAACAAGAGACACACCATTAGTTTTCATAATGCCGTTTTCTTATCAATTTGTACTCATTTTTACAGTAAGTGCCTGTCACGGCTGGGTGCCTGGGAGCCTAATTGACAACGTGATTGTGATGAATAGGTTGTGGTAGGAACGGTGAGGGCGGTCAGCGCTGAAAAACACTCCCGCTTAATCTGAAGCAGTATACGGAATATTTATCGGGTTAGTCGTTGTGATTACCGTAAGCTTTGAAGGAGGAAAGTGCATGTAGATCAGTCTCCCTGTCTGGATAATGCAATAACATACATGACTGTTTTTCTAATAGAGCGCCCATTACTATGGCATTCTTATTTAAGTCTTGTTCCATCAAATGCTTTTCTCCGTGAACATGTTATTGTGTGGTATTAAACCTTTCTATCTTCATGGAGACCAAACTAGACCAGGTTACATTTGAGATCTGTGGAGAGGCAACCCTGCTAACCGTCAAAATGTTTCTTTTTCTAGGGATTTTTGAGCTATATAACCACCTGTGATTTAACGGATCTAAGGTTTATACTGTGGAACATTCCAGACAGACATATCCATAGAAACATGCAGGTGATGGACTTACTCTGCATCTTCTCTGGTGGAGGGTCCGACACTTGCCTCTCTCCATGGCGATCTTACTGTTTTGCCTTGATTATTCCACAGAATGGAAACAAACTTCGTAATCGTAATGGAGACAGGTTTATGGTCAGATCTATGGAGAAGCAAGCCTGCACATGGTTAAAATTCATGTTTTTTTGAAAGTATAAAACACCTGTTGTTAGGGGTGTAACAGTAACCAAAATATCATGATATCGTATCGTCAAAGTTCTCACAATAATATCGTGGACTATCACAATATATCGAATTACAAGTCTCTTTGCTTAAATTAAGAGTTATGGTGCAGCAATAGCTAAAAAAAGACAGAGGGAACTACATAGACCATGATCCTTTGCTCCATTTCAGTGTAGACTACAAGAAGAAATAACAGTTCTAAGCACCTTTAAGTCTTAGTTCTTTGGATTAAGTCTTGTCAAGGCATTTTAAGAGGAAAAAATAGCATATTAACAGTTTTGTTAGCCTCCACAAAATATCGCAATAACCGTGAGATGCATATCTTGAAAATATTGCCTAAATATAGTAAGAATAAGTCTCGACATAAACACAGATGAATGCTATCATTGTATCCTTGACATTTAACCCACTTTGCCCCTAATGTCTGCGTACGCTGGTGTATGAACGTGGGTGTGAATGGTGTATGAATGTGGGTGTGAATGGTGTATGAATGTGGGTGTGAATGGGTAAGTGGTTCTGTGATGTAACGCGCTTTGATTTGAGTGCCTTGAAGTTGGAAAAGTGCTATATAAAAATATGACCATTTACCATAAACCATAAACCATAATACTGAAACCAAAGTATAAAGCTGAATTATCCCCCCAAAACTATTCTAAATGTAAAATATTGTTAAAAAAGACGTGACTGCAATAAATAAATAAAGAATGAATGAAACATCTTATTTAGTTTGTATTTATAATGAGTCAGAGAAGTTATTTATTCAGTCTTCTACAGCTCGTATCATATTGTAGTACGGAAAAATACAAACAAATACAAATACAAAGAAAAAGTGCCCACTATAAGTACTGACCCCTAAAAATGATTGCTCCATTTGGCGTGTATTGAACAATAAGTGGATATAGGAATTATTGTGACAGGCTTACATACAATATGCCTACAGCGCAATCGATGCAAGTTGGTTAACAAAGGTTTCATTGTTGTTCAAATGAATCCAAATAAATATAACTATTATGTAGTTGGATTGTTTTTGCATGCTGTTTATTTATTTATTTATTTATTTATCATTGAAACCTTCGGTAGATTTGATTAATAAACCTCATTTGGAAAGGGATTCTTCTTATTATTATATATGAAGATTTTGTACAATTTCTAGAATAATGTATTTTTTTTTCAGCTAAGTTTTGAAATATATTATTTATAATTTGAGTCGGTTATTCATAAAGGTTCATTCTTAACTTTTTGTGGTTTGGTTCTGTCAACTGCTCTGCTTCATGAAGAATATGGTAATTAAATAATGAATTAAATGCTAAATATATCAGTTTAATGCTATACTGTTAGACATTAGAGACAAAACAACATAATATCCAGTTAGACAAGCAAGTGGCAGGCTCCCCAACCACCAAAAACGTTATATAGAATGCACCTTTAAACAAGTTTCACCTCATCAGTCAATGAAAGAGTCAAGATTGGCTTTCTATAATTCTAATGATTTGAAATATATTTAAATACACAAAATACATACGCATCCATAAATCTAAAAGAAAACTTTGGTACAGCATGCTCTTTAATAACAAGCCTCTGTATATGTGCCTATTTCACAGGATTTTCGGCCACGTCAGTCACCGCTCTGAGTGGCAGCTGGTGAAAATCGACTTCAGGTCCATCTTCAACAGGAGGTGCAGTGAGACAGACTATCAGACCTGGCATCTCCACAACCAGGTAAACCAGAGCCCAGACTATTCATTACACCTCCACAACCAGGTAAACTCGACCATAAACTGTTTATTACCCTTCCACAACCAGGTAAATAGGAGCCCAGACTTTATCATTACACCTCCATTATACCTCCACAACCAGATAAACTAGAGCCCAAACTCTTCATTACACCTCCACAACTAGCTACACCAAACCAGAAACTTTTTATTACACCTCTACAACTAGGTAAACAGGGAACACAAACTGTTTATTACACCTCTACAACCAGATAAACTAGAGCCCAAAGAGGTTCATTACGCATCCATTACATCTCCACAACCGGGTAAACCAGAGCCCAAACTATTCATTACACTTCAAGAACCAGCCAAACCACAAACTGTTTATTAGACCTCTACAACCAAGTAAACACAGAGCACAAACTGTTGATTATGGCGCATTCTGTTGTGCTCGGGACTCTGGGAAAACTGACCTCCACCTCGAGAAAGTGCAATGGCACGGCCAATTAAATCGGGGTTCTGAAACATAAACTTGGGCTGGTTCAGTGCAGACTGAGTCGGTTGGATTTACGTCACAGAAAAATTTGCAGCACACACACTAAATTGTAACAGTAAACATAACCTATATAATGTTACAGCTGTATCCATAGCCACTTCTGCTAATGTTACCATTACACCAACACACATTTTTAGTTATGTGATAGCCTAGGTTACATGATACTTGAATTAACAAAATTATACTTACATCATGCGCCATCCCTGTTCAGTCATTGTCCTGGAGTAGTATATATGGCTTGCTCATGGTATTCATAAGCTAACAAACTAAACATTAAACTTTCTCGGGCATCCATATTTTCCCCAACTGTTGCAATGGAACGCATTTACAACAGATGTCGGGTGAACTGACTCGGATTTATCTACTACAGACTTTCAATAGAATGCGGCTTTAAATCTCCACAACTAGCTACACCAGAGCCCAGACTGTTTATTACACCTCCATAACCAGCTACACCAGAGCCAGACTGTTCATTACACCTCCACTGGTAGAGAAATTTCATTTTGGTGCTGTATCTAGGGCACTTACTTCCAGCTCGATGCTACAACAGAAGCATAGCCACACTGAACTGTACCAGACTGGAATGGACAACATGGTCAAAGTTTTTGTAGTCTATCCTCTATAAAGTTAAGATTTTTATCCTTCCAATTACATTAACTCCAAATTATAAATCAGATGTTACGTCCCAAGAGTTAAATACTCTTACTGTCCCCAAATATTTATTACTAAAACTAATACATTTTACGATTTTGAAGTAATGTTAATCTCACTTGAGTAAATTTTTTGGCAGCTCTACCCACCTCTGCCGCCACAGCCAGGTACACAAGAACCCAAACTGTTCATTTCACCGCCCCCTCTAAACGCTGGCCAGATGGAGCGGGAATATAGATCCCAGCTCCATTTCAACATAAGAGTGACACTTAATGTAACATCTCCATAAATTTGTATTAAAATTCAACATCTTCAAATTGGATCACTACCAGGTTTGCATAAGATATAACACAGCACTGCAGCTTTCAATCTTGTGGAAAAATGGTATGTTAATAAGTTTGTCATTTACATAGTGCTGACAAGGTGAGATGCAGTGATTATTTGACATCATTTTTTTCTCTGTTAACCAATTTTTGATTGAGTTTGAGAATGTATTTACTGTGCTTGATGCTTTACGGTCGGTGACTTCCTATCCTGATGCATCTTCACTCTTCACTTTTTCAATTTAGCTTTGCTTTATTCTTAGTGCAGCACTTGTCTTAACATAGTCTGGATGTTCACATTTTGGAATTAAAGGTGAATTGCATAACTCTGATTGATTGTCTGTACTTTCAACCAGTAGGCCCAGTTTTACTTCATTTTTAGTATAATCCTTAATTTGTCCTTGTTTAGACCCATGTTTAGTCCTCATGTGTAAAATTTTGAATTAAAGGTGCACTGTGCAACTTTTAAACATATCTATCTATCTTTCTATCTATCTATTTATCTATACATCTATCCATGTGTTTTTTTAATTGCTCAAGAACACATGCATTTTAACAGTGAGTCTGGATGCCACTCCACAGATCAGACTTGTCACTTGCCCTTTTCATATGTTAAGTAGGTGAGATATAGTGTTTGTCAGGAGGCTTGTTGGTTCCATAGAGCCATTGCTCCTGACAGAATACTCCAGTAGTATTTCTGAAGGACAGGTCAAATGCTGTGAGGACATTTACCTATGGCAAGAATTAAGTATATCCTGACTTACCTTGGCTGTTCTAACTTGCATTGTGTCCTTGGGCAAGACACTTCAACCACCTTATTTTTACAAAAGAGTCCTCCTTCTCGCTGAATACATTAACATATTCATTTGTTCACCAAAATATAGCAATGATCTTGAGTTTATTCTCATTTGTTGGACCCTTATGCCTCATGTAACTCACTTTCCCCAATCAGTTACACAGCATGTCAACAAGTGTCTTCTTCTTGCATGAGTTAAAGTGTTCCCAAAGCTGTTCCAACCTGCCCGGACCAAACAGGAGCTCCCCTTTATTCTCATACCAGAGCAGTAATCAATCTGGACTCACATATGTTCTCTGTGGGCCAGTGATCAAACTATAAAGCATGGGAGATGACACTAGTCCAGGTCGATTATGTTGTGATGGGGTAGGTCCCACTCAGCGACCAAACTGAAAATAAGGAAACAGTTTGGACAGAGAAAGTGCTGGCAGTGATTTGGAGTAAGGAATCTCAAATTTCCAAATTAAGTTTCAACTTTGAAATTAAAATAGCTTTTTGACTTCTAGTCTAGCCAAGTCAGATGTAAAGAGGAGTTACCAAGAGCAAAATTTACAGTAGCGTTAAACAGATCATGTCCAAAATCATAAATAAACCAGGCCTTAACCAGGTCTATACCAAGTCCATCACTAATCACAAGACTAAATCACGCTTAACAAGTTTAAACTTGGACTAAACCAGATCTAAATCTGAGATGTTATGGATCAGATTGCCTTTTATCTCTGTTCTTATCTCGATGATGGTATTGCTGAATGTTCCACAGTGCAGCATTAAACTTATCCTACCTTATCCTACCTTACTGAAGTTTGAAGTTACAGGTCAAATCTGTGGAGAGGTTACTCGACTCACTGAAAGAATGCAATTTTTTTCAATGCCAATAAAAAAAACCAAAAAAAAACTAGAATTTAAAGGTTCTGTACTATGCAGAATTGACTTTAAGACAAAGCATGTTCTTACCTTATCAAAAACATACCTGGAGTTGTGTTTTGTTTCATTGACACATGCTTAAGTAATCCTGCATTATTAGGCTGTTTACATTTCCAAACCTCAAAATGCTCTGTTCCACTTTGTGATGTTATGAAGTGATAGTTTTTAAGTTAACACAAGTGAGATGGGCAATTCCAGGACTGAAATGATCCAAATGATTCTAGTGAAGGTGTATAGAGTTTAAAAACACAGTGGAAGCACTGCCTACCACATGACCTCACAAGGTGGAACAGAGTTTGAGAGAAGAACTCAGCCTAAATATGCAGGATTTGTGTGTTACTCTAAGTATGTTTTGATGAGGAAACAACATTATAACACAGATCAGAAAGTAGCATCATATTTGCCCTTTAATGAATCCAAGATAGATACTGTGAAATATTCCAAAGCCATAACTTATTCATATAGAGAGACAAGCAGGTAGTGAACCTCTCCCCAGTAAAGTTACATAGTGCAACTTTTTAATCAAAACATCACAAAGCGAAAAATAGTATTAAGTCTGCTCATGAGACCAAGCTGCTTTTTGACGTCTCACTAGTGACACCCAATGCATGCGGGGGGAACTATCAGCTGCTAATCTTTTTATCTTGCTTTGAGCTCATCTCATATTCACTTCCCACACAGACTAAAAATGGAGATAGACCTGGCAGCTTCTCGGAGCGCAATGTTATTTTGTTCCATACATTTAAAGAAGTGACACATACGAGACTTTTGCACTGTTTTTCACACAGGTTGTTGACGAATCTCTTTGTTGTTCATGGAAAAAAGTGTGACAAAAGCAGTTTATTTTATGGCACTATTTTTTGTGACTCTTAAATATATTTTCCATACTTTGGGACCCCCAGGGAGAGCCGTGCCTGATGGGAGCCAAGAGGATCTACAGGAAGCTGAAGCCGATGTCCCGCTGTGTGATGGGCCAGAGTTTTGCATTGTCTATGTCATCTGCTCCGTGTGACTGCACCGAGGCTGACTTTGAGTGGTGAGACTCTCTATACTGTTGTGGAACTTTTTCATCGCTAGTTTGGTATGTTTTGATGGATGTGACAGGATTTACGACGAACTGAACTGTTGATTTTTACAGTTGTTTAAAGGGCCCGTATTACGCCATTTTGTGATCGATGTTATAATGTTGTATCCTAATCAAAAACATATATTGAGTTGTGTTTTGTTTTATTCACACATGTTTAACACACAAATCCTGCTTATTTAGACTAAGTTCTTCTGAGTTCGTCATGTGGTAATACAGAAAGTGCTGCACTGTGTTTTTAAACTCCATATACCTTCAGTTGAATCATTTGGATGATTTAAGATCTGGAATTGACAATCTCTACTGAACAAAAAGTAAAAGATTGTTGTTAACTTGAAAACTACCTCTTCATGTCATCACAAGGTGGTACGGAGCATTTTGAGCTGGAGATGTAGACAAACTAATAATAAAGGATGACTCAAACTTGTGTGAATGAAACAACACTCAACTCTAAGTATGTTTTTGATGAGGTAACATTATATCATGGCTAAAAGCTCACAGGAGACAGTTTTCCATGATATAAGACTTTTAATTCAAAATGTTGGTTGCATAAATCTTATTTATTTGCATGCTTATGTATTGTGATGTAGCTCCATCAGTCTGTCCCAGGATGGTTGTAGGTTTGCAGTGTACCACCGAGGGTTATCCAAATTTGTAATTGCATAAACCTGTATGTGAAATTATTATATTCACACCAAACAAGCAAATATTTTGGAATTAACTCTAGATTTACATGGGTTTCAAGCTATAGCAACCATTCTCTGTGGTCATAGCAACGAAGTAGGGATGTAACGATATCCATATCTCACTGTACGATATTTATTGCGATAGTTTTAAGAGGCTAATATTATTGTAGATGGGACACTTTTTTGCTTTTAAAATACCTTGACAAGATTTTGGTGTGAATTATTTCCATCATAATCCCAAGAATTCAAGTAAAAAAACATATTTCTTCATGCTATCTACACTGAAATGAATCATGGGATATGTAGTTTCCCATGTTCATAAGCTGTTGCTACTATAAAACCATGCATTTAAGCAAAGGAACTTGTAATTTGATATATTGTGACAGCCCACGGTATTATTGTGAGACTTTTGACGATGCGAGATCACGATATTGCGGTTATTGTTACATCCCTAAGTAATTCAAATCAAGATACTTTCTAAAAGTGAAGGTAGCGTTCGGAAGTTCTACACTGTATATACTAAATATACTGAAGACGAAATATCGTGTAATTTTGTTATAAATTGCCACAGATTTATTTTATAGAATGCAATATCAAAGTCAATTACAGTATCATAGAAAATTCAAACCTCAAATCAGCTTGTGTATTCATTATCCCCAAGCATGTCCCCAGCTGCAGTTACTATATAAACACTATAACCTGCTTTCTACAAAATTATCAGCAAAATTAATTTTATCTTTTCATTTCTCGTTTATGCGGCGGTGTCTCGGGGGCGCAGGTCTCTTGAGTGAAGCTGGTCCTCTCCCTCATAAATCTGCCGGCCTAATAGCTTTCATTTACAATCACAACACTTTTGCATCTGTGAGCGCGCTGCATTAATTGGGCCAATTTGTCCCCATCATTTGAGAGGAAGTGGCGACGCTTGGCCGTTTAATTCGCAGGACAAACAAAGGCTGTGGATTAGAATGTACTGCATAAAGACAAAGCATTTGAATGGCACCGTGGTCTAGAGTTGTTTTAATATGTACTGTGAACCCTGTCCCATCTGTCTGGGTTTGAGTAGCATCAGTCATCTCCTAAGTGAGTGTCACGCTGCACTCGCCTCCATCTTGGCTCCAATTGAATTTGCCTCAGGAAGATCTGATCTGTCTTTGTCATGTGTCTTTTCCTCCTTGTTTTCATTCTCATCCTGGTTTGATTTTGTGTGTGTGTGTGATTTTAAAGGGGAAACAACTTTTATGATGGGTTTTTCCTCATTAGCTTACTCGATTATTACTTGATTGATTTGTGCCTGTTTTCATAATGATTGATTTGGATCAGCATAAAGCAAATGAAAAATTGGAGTGGAAATTATTCCGTGAGCTCAGTTTAATCTGGACTGAATAGACATAAATTCTTGGAACAACTCATTTCACATCACATTCAATTGGATTTATAGTGAACAAAGATGCATAGTAGCACAGGTGGATGATTTAGTGGAATGTCGTCATTACAATTCTAGTGGAAAATAGAAGTAGGAAGTTGAATGCACCCAACGTTTATCACAATATGACCCAACAGATATGGCAGTACTTTGTCTAATGGCTCTTTACTCACTAAATGATGGAAAAACATGGACATAGGCAACTGCTGGATAATAAATGAAGAATAAGTTGGTACATATATATAGGAATCATTTTAATCCAAAATGTTGTTTTATGGAAAATACTAGATCAGTAATGGATGTATAATCTAGCTGGTTCATTTTCCCTGGATTGCTATGAAATCTGAGTCTGGGACATGAAATGCATTGCAGGTATGCCAGTAGTCCTGAATGAAAGCAGACCTATTATGCAAAATTGACCCTTCACCGCCACCGGCATGCGGCCACTGCTCTGTACTTATCGTCAATGTAGTCATTTTTGTAAAAAAGACTGCCAAGATCGAAAAAATCTGCTATTCTTTAGCGTGTTGTGCAGTTATCCATTGGATATGTTGTGATGGTGTTTACGGCGATGTCAGCTCCCATTGGGCACCACAGTTTTCTAATGTGGAAGTCAATGGGCAATTTAAAATGTCCAAATTATAACATAATGACCCACAGGTGTCATAGATTATAAATATAAAGCAGCACAATAGGTCTTCTTTAAACATATCTTTTTAAAATATTGTTCCAGTGATTATGGCTTTGAGCGTCGGACCAGTGGGAAGTGTGCTCCAGCCTTTTGGTTCCACCTGTCCTCCATGTCCAGGAGCTGTACCACAGGGATGACTTTCCTCAACAGCACTGGGTAAGTACACATAAGTAGTAGAATTAACATAGACATCTCTGCCCTTTTCAGAGCTCAAAAAGGCAATGCCACTTTGTGACATCATTACGAGGTACTTCAAAAAGTGTTCCTCCTTGTTTTTCAAGTAGGCCTACATAAATTCATGTACTCATTGATTCGTTCTAATTACATCAGCGGTCAAATTGCCTTCACTAAGATTATATGTTATGTTTACATGCTCTGTCTCTGTAATTTCTTGTTCTAAATGCATATGAAATTTTGTATTTGCTGGTTTGATTTTCACTATATAAGCAAAGCATTTTGTTGTCATGTCCATGAGCAATACACCCACCTTGCTTGATTGTGGTGACTGGGTTTTATATCCATCAGTTTCAGAATGATGACCACTGAAAATAATATATCTTTTGAGTTGTCCACACTCACACACAAAAAAGTTTACATTTTTTGAAAGTAGATGCTTTGAACTGAGTGAATAATGCACCAAACTGTAAAGCAACTTTGCATGTTTAGAAAAAATGCCACCAAAGATTTAATTACACATTTTATACATTATTACTCTGAAAACTGAAAGTAGTTGCTATTAATATTACTGCTCTTTTGAAGTGATAATATTTGTTCTTGATTACTTTTTGGATTCTAGCCTTGCTTTGTACAGCAGATGAATATATTGAGGACAGAGAAGGAAGTACTGAAACACAAACTCACTATAACAAAATCTGATGACCAGCAGAGGACGAGGAAGAGAGGAAATAATCAGATGAAGTGGAACTGAAGTCGTATTTTAAGACAGTGACAGTTCTGAACGACATCCAAATGTACTTCATAAAACCTCACCGTTAAATAGTGGTATTTTATGACCCTATGAATGCTGTCAGTCAGATCTAAGCAGGAATGATGGGGAGAGAATCCTGCCAACTTCAGAAACTTCATAGACTTCTTTTAATGAAAATCTGACCAAATTACGCCATTCTTGAATTCACACTGTTAAAAAATATTTTAATTTAAAAATTAGGCTAAACAACTCAATTATAGAGCCAAGTTTGTACAACCCCCCCCCAAAAAAAAATAAAAAAATAAATAAATAAATCACGCTTTTTAATAATAAATAAATAAATAATAAATCTGGTATACATGTACAGTGATGGAAAGAATACTTTGGAAATGTATTCAGTTACAAAATACTGAATGCCTGCAGGAAAATATATTTTGTAACACATTTTGATACATGGCCCAATCGGAGTACTGTATTCTAAATACTTAAAATACTTTCATGTAGAGTTGCATATAAATTATAGTATAAAGGTGCAACATAGGATTTAAAAAAAAAAATCTGCTTTAAATTTTTTTCAGCATTTGTTATACATTTCTACTTCTACTTCTAACTGGAAAAACTAAAATGACATAAGTACGCACTACAAGAGTTGTGTTTTCTATTTTTCACATTGAGCAGTTTGAAGCCTGTGTGATCAAGTACCAGTGCATCTCTTTGATTTTAGAAAAGTATTCTGAATAACACCAAATGAAAAAGGAACTCTACCACAATACAGCTGCTCAAAATTTGTATTCAATAAGTCAATTCTTTTTACCCCCCAGTAAAAATGATAAAGTATACAGTAAACAAAGATTCAGAGTAGCAGTGGTGGTAATGTTATTAGTAGTTTATAGGAAAATGTTAGCTGTAGCAATATGAGGCAATAGTAGAATAAAGTGCCATTCTTAGATCATAAACACTAGTGCAAAGCCACTCTAAAAGTCTGAAAACAGTTGAAGTGTTGATATTACTTTCATCTCTGTCAAAAGGCCTTGTTGTTTACATACAACAGCCTCTAGTCTCCACTCACAAACAGCAGCAGCACAAAGAGAACAAAGTGCTGCTCCACAAAAGACACGAGCTCTCACCACACACTCGAATCAATTCAACAGGTACTTCATGATTCAATGTACACAGCTCATCATACTGATGCAATCACTTTATGGATACTTTGCAGTGACAACATGCTGGGGTTCATTTCTGTGTATTTCTATGGTGGACATGGTTTCATTTTCACACACATTAGCAAAGTCTACCCAAAAAGTTTTTACATTATCTGAAAATTCAAGATAAAATAGAAAATGGATTTAAATAACACATTTTCAGGGGTCTGGCTTTTGGATCGGCGCCGAAATATCCAGATGTGCAAATTATGACAGATGAAACCTTCTCTAGAGTGAACCACTCCTGGATGAATGAAGGACTACACCATATGATCACAATACACTACAAATACATTGAAAACCAGTACCTGCATGCCAAATAATCATTTTGTGTATTTAGCTACAGAAAAGTAGTCTCTAATAACTGCACTGCGGGGGTGAGCGTGCATTACACAGCCCGGAGGCAGCCATGCCCCGTCCAGGCACCCAAAGGCCTGCACCTGGTCACCAGCGAGGGCACCCACACTGCCATCCTCGGAGCCAACGTCACCTTCCTCGTGTTTCTGGAGGAGGTAGGACATGCTTATACTGGGGAAATGTTAGTGCTGTCAGGTTGTACAAAATAGTATCTTGTGTTACATTGCATCAAATGGGGGGCAGTATTCAATAAGTACTCTGTGTAATACGATAAGATATGGAAATATCAAGAAGAAATATTCTAATGTTGAACTTGATCATTTTAAAATAAGTAACCTTAGGCTGTGCCTCAAACTATGAAAGAAGGTAGGTTTCAAATCTGTGTAACTAGTTCCTAGCTTTCACAAACCCTTTGGACATCACATTCACATGCCCCTAGCACCGCGTTAGAACAGTGCTTTCAGATGGAAAAGTGAAACAGGGTAGACCACCAAAGCACAGCCTGTCAGCTCTCATCACACAACATCATATAGTGACTCACGTGGCTCGAATGTGCTAGAACTGGTCTGTCACAAAGTTCTGCTTTTAGAATGCACTTCTTTCTGAGAAGGAAATATCATTACTCATTTACGAGAGAAAAAGTTGGGTACCTCAACTTTAAAGGTTCTATATTACAAAAAATGACTTGTCACTGGATGACTCTTGTGAGCTTTAAGCCATGTTACACTCCTGTTACTTCCTCAAAAACATATCTTGAGTTCATTTACTGTTCTCCAAAGCTCAAAATGCTCTGTTCCACCTTGTGATGTCATGAATTGGTAGTTTCCAAGGTTAACCTACTTTTTTTTTTTTTTTTGTGGAGACTGGCAATTCCAGAGCTGAAATTATCCACATCACAAATTGAAACAGAGTGTTTTTAGTTTGAGAGAAGAGTGTTTTAAACATGTGTGAATGAAACAAAACACAAGTCCAGGTCTGTTAGTGATGAGGGTACAACATTATAGCATAGATCACAATAGTGCAATATGGGCACTTTAACCTTTACATTATTACGTATGTCCAATATTTACCGACAGTACATTTTGCTGAATAAAATCCAATATAATCTGAAACTTTATTTTAGTTTCATATTTTTTCTTCTACAGTATGAACCATTCTAAATCACTCTATATCATATCCTCTTGTTCAGGGCGATGGGGCGCGGACCAGTATCACTTTGGACTTTGGAGATGGACACGCTGTGACTTACTCCAATGTGAGCTCTATCGAGGAGGGCATCAGACACATCTACAGAGCTGTGGGCATCTACAGAGTAACAGCCACCGGCGAGAACAGTCTGGGCTCTGAGACTGCAGTCCTCTACCTCCATGTCAACTGTGAGTCTGAACACTGCTACAAAAATATCTTGAAATATAGACTATATAAAGAGTCTGACACCACCCATAGCATCCGGCTCCAGTCAAATGAAACTCATCGAGATCTGCTGTTATACTGTGATAGGCCGGAATTTTGGAGCTGAGTTCCGTCATCCTGTCACACCTTTGATTAACCTTTTCAGTTAAGTTAAGTTTTAGTGGGAGCGACCACGGGGGGATTTATGGAAAAAATAGTGAAATAAAACATCAGGATCATGTAAAACGGGTTAATACAAACATTTTAAGAACAAAATGCCAAGCCTGATAGCAGCAGTTATGGAGAGAAGGGCAACGTTTTTTCAATAGAAAAGTGAGTTGTAGCCAGAGTCAGTGGAGCCGGAAGCACGCCCATGCTCATTTCCTACTAGCAGGTGTCTAGTGGGTTATTTCCATTTCTACATACAGAACCTGTTTGAAAAGAGATTTGTAGTTTTGTGCTAAATGGATTACATGAGAAGTGCACGTTGTGTTCTCAGAGGTGATGTTGGTCCCAGCTGCATGCTAAACTGAAGTGTGTACAGACATGTGCTTTAGGCTCAGTGCTGAGGCAGGGATTAGACAAGACCCCATCAACAAGAACAGGCTCAGGATGCAAAGTGGAGCCTCATTTACAAAGGGAAAATGCATCACCCCACAGGGAACAATGGAATATGTTTTCTTTGTATCATTTTTTCTTTTTATTTTTTTTATGTTAGATTTAAATCGAATTTGAATTAAGTAGTACTACCTGTTTTTATAAAAGTGAACATTTTAAGCAAGCTAAGTTTTTTTTTTTTTTTTTTTTTTATAATTGACCTTTTAAAAAAGAATTAACTCAACATTAAAATTCACCTGCATGTCAACCCAAGTCTAGGGCTTCCACAGTTTTCCACTGTCCATACATTCTGTATTCAAGGGGCTATGCACCTTCAGTTGGAGGGTTCAAGGGCCCTTGTCTCTGTGAAGATGGTTTAGCCTGGAGTGTTCTACAGCATGGCATTAAAGGTGCTACATTACACACAGTTGACTCCTGTGAGCTTGTTACCTCATCAAAAGCGTACCTGGACTTGTGTTTTGACTCATTTGCATCACTTTGAGTACTGCTGCATTATCAGGCTGTCTACATCTCCTAAGCTCAGAATGTTCTGTTCTACCTTGTGATGTCATGAAGCTACCTTTTACCAGTAGTTCAGTAAACATTGGCATTTCCAGGGCTGAAATTATCCAAATGATTCTAGTGAAGGTGTATGGAGTTTAAAAACACAGTGGAGCACATCCTGTATTATGACATAGCATCACAACTCCAGGTATGTTTGTGATAAGGAAAAAACATAGATCAGAAAATCGTACAATATAGTATATGTAAGTGTATATATCTCTATGGAGATTTTTTACCAATGGGAAAAAAAATAATAATAATAATAATAAAGGCATAAAATCGTACAATAGAACATTCCAGAAACAAGCAGGTTGTGGACCTTGCACCAAAAAAGTTACATTGTGGATCTTTAATTATGCCTTATTTCCTTTTTTCCACAATCCACCATTCACTCAAATCCACAATGTCCTATGCATCTTTATTAAAATAACGGTTTTATTTTTGTAAACTCTGGCAACAATGTGAATACCTTTCTGATATCTTAAAAAACTTCCCCAATATGTTTTTGACCGAACCACATCAGTTTCCCTATCACCACCACAGCACACCCTTGCATTTATTTTTTTTCCCAGCCTTGTGACGTGCATTCATACAGATAGGAGTCTCTTTTTACACATTCAACTATTCCTCAGCTTCCCTTTTCTTTATCACATAGAGCTGGATTGTGACTGTCAGCATGTATACACTCTATCACAGACTGAGCCCCCTCCTCCAATCTCCAAACAAACAAGTCAGATAGAACAAATCCCATTTCACCGGAGTCGCCTTTTTCCTGGAATCCGGATTTTCGGGTACCTATATGAAAGAGGCAGGAGTAATATGTAAGACTGACCACCGGCGCCCCCTGCGGCTTCGGGTGACAGATGTAATGGAGCTGACTTATTGATCGGGGAGTGGGGCTGCTCCATCCAATCTGTCAATCGTATGTGCCAGTCGTACAAATAGAGCTGGGGCGTCCTCAAGAGCCTCACGAATGAAAAATAACACACAGATGGTAAGCAACTCGGGCGAGAGGACTGCAGAGAATATTGAGCAAACAACCGCACGTATAAGCTTCATACTGCCATGTATGAGTTTCCAAGGAAACATATAACACAGAATGATCTGACTTTTTTGAACAAATAAATAATATTTCATGATATATATGGGATCACTTGGCTGAAGTAAATAAATACAATCGTGATGCTTCTTTGTGACATCTATGGCTGAGATGAGCTTAAAATCCTTTTTCTCTACCTGGGCACTGACAAAATGATGGTTATTGTTTAAAAAAGGTCCAGAGTAGACTAGGAAGATTTTTTTGTTTCTATAATTCAACATTTATAGCACACATCATAACCTACATACAATTTGCTTTCAATTACAACTATTTTTGCATGCAATAGCTATGGATGGTATATATGGATGCACACATGTGAAAAGTTGCTGTGTTTTTTTTTTTTTTTTATTATTGAATGTCTGGATGTTACATTAAGCTCTTTTGAATGCCAGTTGTTTTTGTGTGTGTGTGTGTGTGTGTGTGTGTATATATATATATATATATATATATATATATATAGGCCTATATAGTTCTAGTATATATATATATACATATGATGATTATTTAAATTAAAATAAAACATACCTGGAGTTTTTTGTTTCATTCACACATGTTTATATATTGTTTGGCATAGTTCTTCTCTCAAGCAGAAAACAACCTGTTCCAGCTGGGATTGCCAATCTCTACTGAAGAAATGGTAACTTGAAAGCTACCACTTCATGACATCACAAAGCAGAGGAGAGCATTTTAAGATGTGGAGATATAGACAGACTAATAAACGGATTGTGTGAATGAAATGAAACACAACTCCATGCATGTTTTTGGACTTGCAGCATTTTAACATGGTCACAACTTTTTAACATGGCTTAAAGTTGTCAGCGTAATCCCTCAGCCTCCCAGGTAGGACAGAATTGAATTTCTTTTGCTATGGCTTAAAGTTCACAAAAGTCAGTTTTGCATAACATAAGACCTTTAACAAAAGCCAGATGTAACAGAACCAAAATGTTAAAAGTCGCAATCATTAAAGGAGCAAAGGACTGTACTTAAACCCTTAATATATTTAAGTATCTGTATTTTACTACATTTGATAGCAGGTAGTTGTACTTTCTAGTCTGGACTGACTGAAAAGTATTTTTTATTATTATCTGAGACCAGACAGAAAAAAAACTATCAGTTCTATTCTTTTGAAAAAAATGCAGAACATTTTTGATCAAAATCACTCCTCTTGTACATTGCATTTTACCAATTTCAGCAATTTTCTTGTGTAATTTGCTACTATTCGGCATACATTTTATCTTTTCTGTGTTCTAACCATATGCTGCTTGTGTGTTTGCGAGTAGGTCAGCTGGAGTATATCCATCTCTCGGCTCCCTTTGTGGCTGTGAGGAATAAGGAGGTGAACCTGACTGCAGTGCTGTGGCCAAGCCAAGTGGGAACAGTCACCTACATCTGGTGGATAGGAAATAACACTGAGGTACCCCTAAGACTACCATCTCTCCATATCTCCGTCTGTTTCTCTATACTCTTTGCACCTCTGCCCATTTGTAATTAAGTAGGTTGCTGACTCCATGTGCTCTAAAATACGCAATCATTATTTCTGTGCAGAACCAGGTTGCAAAAACTTGTGGCCTTGTTAATCAGCTTTGAAAGCGATTGTGTAAAATGCTGAGCTGTCAGATATGCATAGAGTTAATTACTAATAGTCACTGAGGTGTGGATATCAGTTATTCTGCTCAGGACTTTCCAAAGTAAGTTTTTTAAGAGGATCAATAAAAAAGTATATACGGTAGAATATATGGCCAGTTGACTTCACAAATCTGTAGGTTATAAAAAGTAGTGTTCAGTATTTTTGTTTGCTTGTTATTCTCTTACACCTTATCAAATGAAGCAATAAAAAAAGGGGGAAAATCCAAGTAAAATCAAATTGAATATTTTTTATGTGTACATTTTAAATATACTTTTAAAGTGTTCGGTTTTTTGTCTTTAATGAAGTAAAGATACTTAAATCTTGTTTTAGAATTATGGTAAATGGTCACATTTTTATATAATGCTTTTCCACCTTCAAGCCACTTAAAGCGCTTTACACCAAAGACCATTCACCCATTCACACACACATTCATACAGCTATGTACGCAAACACTGGTGAGATGGGTGAAGGAGAAGGTGATGGAGAAGTGTCTTGCCTAAGGAAACAACAAACATTCATCTGTGGAAGCTGGAATCGCACGCCTAACTTTCGGATCAATGAACAAACGCTGTAACAGCTGAGCTACTGCTGCCCACTTATGATATGATTTTTAGAATTTAATAAGCCAGGTTTGCTTCTGAAAAAGTGTAGTGTGTAAAAATAGTGTAAATCCCAATTGTGAGGCCCAGCAGATGTAGTGCACATGTCCAAGGCTTTATATAGAAATGCTCTAGTTTATGCAATCTGTCTTCATAATTATGCTTGTGTAAATGTTTGTTCAGCGCTAACATGAAGCCCTCCACCATGACAGACCGTTAGCTCTGTAGTGCTAACACGCGCCGCAGCGGCATTAGCATCCTAGCTAACTCCGTGTGAAGAACAAATGGAGATGTGAATAATGAGGCACTGTGGGAAATCTCGAAGGACCGGGACTTCAGTGCAACAAGGCACAAAGCTCTGTGTGTTTGTGCGGTACCAGAGAGAAACAGAGGCTCACTAAACTAAACAGCATTAATAATAGTAGGAGTAGTAGTGATAGTAGAAGAAGTAGTACTTCATTAGAATATTTTGATTAAGAGATTACTAAAAGTTCATTTCTACTTTTTATTTCAGTCGCATGATTATTTAGAATTTATTGTGACTGAGTGGCCAATGTGGGTGAAGTGTTTTGCTCAGCGACACAAAGGGAACATCTGTCTGGGCATAATTTCAATTGGATACACTCTGGTTAATGGGAAAGCATGTGGTTAGTGTCAGCTAGTGGCTGTAGTTTCCCATATATATTCTGACTCACGCACTGCAAGTAACTGATTTTAATTTATTTTATTTCAGGAAAACATCTTAAATGTAGCCATGGCATACTGTATAAGTAGCAATTTAGATAAAAAGATAAATGGTTTTTCATGGTTTGGGTGGTCCTGCGACTTAATGTCCGGTGCGACTTATATATTAAAATTTTCACACTGAATGCCGCGAGAGGGTGCTCTAGGATTGTGTGCCAGTATCTGCTACTCCTCTTACTCCTGTACCACTGTCACTTGGCTCTACTGCGCATGTCTCCTGCAGAAAGAGCCGCTGTCATGTCTCATATCACGTCAGTCGATTGCACCATTACTTCTGTACCACTGAAAATTTAAACTTAATTTAAACAAACTTATAAAGACAACTGAGAATACTGAACACAAATGCCCCCCAAAAGAAAATCATATTTTGCAGATTACAAGCTGAAAGTAGCAAAATATGCAACCGAAAACGGTAATCAAGGAACAGAAAGAAAGTTTGAAGTGAGTGAGAAACTTGTAACAACCGGGAGGGTGCGAGGATCGACAAAGCCTGAACTTAAGTGACAACCCAAACCATCCTGTCGGGATTCAGAAAGGTCAGAATAATTTTAGGTCGCAGAGTTGCTCAGAAGTGAAACAGGATGAAGAATTCAATGGATTTAGTGATTTAGAGTGAGCTGGAGAGTTTGGTAAACTTGTTCTGTTCTGTTGTTTATGCTAAAGTTATCTGAGTAACTGTTCATATGTTTCAGCCTGTCGTTCTCTATTCTAATGTTATTACTATAAGTTGCCTTTCAAGATGAAATGTCGCTTCCTGATTTTATAAAATAAATTTCCCCCAAAAAGTGCAACTTAGTCCAGTGCGACTTATATATGTTTTTTTCTTCTTCATTACACGTTTTGGCTGGTGTGACTTAAACTCCGGAGCAGCTTATGGTCTAAAAAATATGGTAGATTGCTTACACTTTATTTTTTGTTGGATTTTGGTGGATGAGAACCATAAGGAATCAGCCATGAGGGACAGACAATTGCGTCCAATCAAAGCTATTGTTGAGCGAAAACCATCAGGAAACAACTGTCCGTGACTCTCCCAGACAGTTGTTTCTCTGTCATGGTTCAACCTTCAGAGGGAGAGAGTGGGGGAAAGTGAGGACAGCAGCAAGAGATGTTTATTTATCTGAAAATAAAACTTTGACTTTAAAGTCCAGGAATAATAATACAATAATTTGGGATTTTTGGTTTTTGGGATAATTTGGGATTCTTCATTTAGGACAGAACCAGCACCTGAAGAAAGACTGTCCCGTTGATCCTCAAATCATGTCTCTTACCTCTCTCCTCGCTTTGTCTCCTCTGTGGTCGGGACTCACCCATTTCCTGCAGAATCTAGGAGAGGAATCGAGGAGAAGGAAGCGAATAAAAATAATTGTGACACAGTCTATGTTTATGTCATCCATTCATTTCCCTCATGTGTTTTTGTGCGCAGCAGCCCCTGATCACTCTAGAGGGCAGTGTGGCGTGCACGTTCTCCCGGGAAGGATCCAACTCTGTGACCGTGCAGGTGTCAGCGGGGAATGCCATAATGCAGGACAGGAAAACCATCGCGGTGCATGGTGAGTCAACAGCTTCTCAGTTTACTCAACAGGGAATATGTAACTGTAAATTAAAATGGGATCAGGTAAAATAACTTGGCAATTTGAGACTCAATGGTATAAATGATCCCCAACATAGACTGTAGAAAGAAGGGAACTACGGTCAATTTTAGCTCCAGTCAAATGAAGCTCATAAGGCTTAGCAGTTATAGGGAACAATTTGGAGCCCGTTCCATATTGGGAATAGCAATTTATTTACAGACAAAATGGAGAAATAAAAAAAAAAATACCAGGATCATGTAGAGTGGGTTAATACAAACATTTTAAAACCAAAGTGACGAGGCTCACTGCAGCAGAGAGGAGTGATCATTTTTCTATGTAAAGTCAACTGAAGTCAGAGTTGATGATATCTGTGTAATCCCTCAGTGGTCCAGGTAGGTTCCATAGTGGTCCATGGGTGTATACTGGTCTATGTGCTCTTATACTTGTTCTGATTCAGCTCAAGATCTTTAACGCTATTCAGGAAGTTCATTTCTGTCCTTTGAATGTGAAATGGGTATTTAGTGTCTTTTAATACGAGTAGTTTTAGCATCTGATTTTCCAGTTTTCTTTAATAAAAACATTTAATTGAATAAATGAAAGATAGGAGCAGTATTGTAGACTATTCAGAGCAAAGCCATAATATCTCCAAGGGTACAGCAGGTGAAAAAAAAAAAAAACTCATTAAGGCTGCCACACACTACAGGAGAATTTGCCAAATTTTGGCTGCGATTTGCGACAGTGTCTTCGTGTGCAGTTTTGAAGCCGCTGCACTCCTCGTGTGTGGTGTCAGTGTGACTCTGAGCTGCTCTGTCATATCATAACCACCAAATATCAGCAATGCTATGGTAACAGCCAATAAAACAGAGCATCAGGAGCAGAGGGATGATGGACACAGAGGATACAAACTCAGGATATAGTGAAAATAATGAGAAGACTTTATTACTCACCTCTCGTAAAGTGGTCAAATTTAAAGTGCAACATCTCATCCATATTATCCATAGAAATTGTTCTCTGCAAATAATGACACCCAGTCCACAAAACCGCACTGTGAATCCAGTCTGAGGCGTTCTTTAAAAGTAAAAAGGCAAGAGTAGTTCTTCACGTGTCTGTTTATATCCACACAACACCTGGATTGTGGTGAACCTGCAGATTTGCGATAGTGACTCTACTTCCTGTGTTTATTATCACTAATCTTTTATGCTTTACAAATCACATATCTGAAGTATTGTACAACATTTCACAAACAATAATAATAACACAGTTTTGACTTTTATCTAAACTAGAAGTGCAGTGCTCTGATCTTTTGAACACTTAAGAGGCTCAAGGAAACAGTTGACGCGATCGTGCTCACAACTTTATAGCCTGTGGTCCGTATTCATATCCCACTGCAGTTTTTGCGATCGGAAATTTAAAATCTCATAAGATTCTCCTCGTGTCTGTAGTGTGTGCTTTTTGTCTCACGTTTAAAAATCGTTTAAGACCGAAAAATCCTGTAGTGTGTGGCGGTCTTTAGAAAAGTTACATGGTTCTCCCTTAATGAATACAGGAATACTTACTCCAATCTTCCAGACAATCTAAAATACCCTGATACTGTACTTTTTATTACTGGAGATTTGTATTAGAAAAAACAACAGAAATAACAACCCTGGTTCATTTTACTATAGGGTCTCTGGTTAGGTACCATGAGTGACAACATGCAATACATTACAATTTACATAAACCTGGTCCCTTATGCATTGAAATGGACTATATGCGTTATATTTTTCCCATGGGGGTAATCCATTCCAGTGTCCATTCTTGTGTTATGGCCTCATTGCAGTAAATATATTTCATTGCATTGACTTGTAGTTAAATATGCACTGGTAGCAGATTTGAATATGGCTGTGCTGCATGTACAGTATGTTTAGTCCAGTTATTTTATGATTTGTAAAAGTTTCCCCTAGGCACTGCAACCTGCATAAAAGATACCATGACCATATAGTGTAAAGTGATTTAAATGGCTTTCTTGTGTAGCCAATTATTAAATGGGTCAACCGATAAGTAAACTCCTACGTCATCTTCGTTTAAAGGTGCACTGTGTAACTTTTCTGGTGGGGGAACTGCTCGCTGCTAGTTTCCATGGAGATTCCACATTTCTACAATATGGAGACAAGTAGGTGACGTCAAAGAGCCATTGTAAGTTTATCAGGCTTTAAATGAGACTCTTGTAATTGAATTAGATAAGTGAAATGCCATATTGTGAAACATCCCAGACAAGGCAATAACATCTCCAGGGAACAAGCAGATAAAGCAACCTCCTCCAGAAAAGTTGCATAGTGCATCTTTATCGTGAAATTAAAGTTAATCTCAAAGTTGATAGATTTCTTCTTTGAATTTGACTCAAACTATGAAAGATAGGCTTATACTGCAAAAGCTGTGTCCATTAGTTCGAAATGGATTAGCCATTCAAATCATGTTTTTTTTTTTTTGCTGAGAAATTTGCCTCAGGCCTCAGATGTCTGTATTTATTGGAGATTTTCTGTACCACATGGTTTACTGGACATTTCGTACATGATCAAATCTGGACGTGTTTGATAAATGGTAGTGTAGTGTTCACTGAGGCTGCTGCTGTGTAGAACTGCTGACCCCTCCTCTCCGGGTCATACTAAAATACACTCATATATTCTCTCCTCTCCCCACAGACTATTTCCGATCTCATCTTCTTGCCTTTTCATCAAACCTGGATGAACACAACCCTGACGTAGCCGAGTGGAGACTGGATGTTAGCAGAGTCATCAAGAACGCCCTGATCCAGGTAGTGCACTGTCTACGTTTTTTTTTTTTTTTTTTTCCTTGTAGCTTTATTCGGGTAAACAGTGACCGCACCTCTGCCTCTCTACGTCGACCCCCTCAAGGATTTTCAGACAAGCGTTTGACTTTTATGATGATGGATGACGCAGCGGAGGAGGAGGAGGGGGCCGAAGGAGATGTGGTTCAAGAACATGCTGATTGCAGTAGTGGAGCGCTCTGCGGGGTTCACGGCCACAGACTAACTAGATTTAAGGCGGTGTACGAGTAGCACTGGGAGGGAAGAAATATTCAAAAGGGCTTGTTTTGGTCAGAAATCCTCAGAGTTGTAAGCGTGGAATGTCATTTAAAGTGGAACTAAATAGTAAATCCTTTTTTGTTGCTACTAAACTGTGTGGATGGTGTTTGAATAGCATTATCTACTCTTCTGAGTCATTTCTGGCCAGTGGGGGAAGAAGTACTCACTAGTTTTACGAAAGTAATAGTACAGATACCAAAGCAAACAAATACTCAAAGTAAAGTACTTAAGGACTTAAGTAAAGTACAGATTTCTACAATTAAAACTTATACAGTACTACTTTGTTACCTTCCACCACAGTTTTTGGCAACTTTAAAGGCAAATGTACTAACACATGTGGATACAGATAGAGGCTTCGGTCTGTCCTTTGCATTGTTCTGTCTATTATTTGGTCTTCTCCTCAGAATATGTGGAATCCTAACAACAGAGCTGTACATGAGTTGATCACTGGGGACAGTAATGAAAACAGCTCAGTAGTGGAAGCTCAAAGTGACTAGGACAAACTGGAGAACAATTAAATGCTTCCCTCCCCTCACTATTTTTCTTGGCTCTTTTCCAACAGATATGACCTAAAGTTGTCCGTGGGTGCCTCCATGTTTGTTTATTTGTTGCTAATTTTCATCCTCATTGGTCAAATCTCAAACTGCACCCTCTGGTGCACCCAGCCTTGACATGAGAAACGTTTGAAAGTATAAATAAATGCAGTAACAGTTACTGCTACTGGAATGCACTGATCTGTTTAGATATGAAAGTGGAGCATAAACGAGCCTTAATGCAAACAAGAGTGTTATGGTCCATGGCTCAAGAGCCACAACACACCATAATGAAATGGTTTGTTTGGCATCCTGTGGAGAGGAAAGGGCTCAGAACATGAAGCATGGCCACAGTTACATGGAGCCAGGTGATTACCAGCCTGCCTCTCAAGGGAGCGACAGGGGCCAACACTGTGCCCTCTGCTGTTTCCAGTAGTTGGTGACTCCCCTGATTACAGCCAGATGTTTTGGATCTCAAACACCTGTCTGCAGGGGTGTACTGAGAAGTGTGGATACCTGTTAGACCAATCACACTGTTTCTCACATGTTCAGACCCTGCACCTCCTCCCACCTCACCTCTGAGTACTGCCTGGTTTAGCAGCTCTATTTGAAATGCGGCTGTGGGAGACGTTTAGGTGTTTACTCCCACTTTAGGTTGCACATGTATATGAAAAGATCTCCATCAATTTATGAGTTTCAGTCATGTTAGATTCACTGTCATTCTACAATTTGAATCGGTACCAAATTTAAGTTTGTTACCTAAACCTAAGTCAGTCTTACTGCAGCATGACAGACTCTACATCTAATATGGTATTTGAGGAAACCACATGGCAACAGACTTATTTAATTTGTTTGTCTTTTTTCATCAGCTTGTATAGCCTATAGTGAGAGATTAGTCAACTTTGTCCAGCTGATATAATACTTTTTTTTTTTCTTTTACTGTGTAACGTCTCGCTACAGAGTCATATTGACAGCGATCTTAAGTACTAATGTGACTTTTAACTGCTGACCTTTTGATTATCAGTCCCTAGCACTACAGTTTTCTCGATATACATGCACATTATTTGAAAAACTATTCTAACTTCTGCATAATATTTGATATGTTTGTCTAACATATCACGTACTTGAGTAAAACTTACTTAACACTATCTTATTCTGTGGTTATTTTAGTTATGTTTGCAGAGACATCATGCTGGGTGTGTGAATGTATAGGGAATTTTCATCAGTTACCATGGCGACACAATGCATACATTAGCAAACCCAGCCAAAATGGATTTAAAAACATGTTTTCAAGAGCCTGTCATTAATACGAGCGTTCATGGTCCTGTTTAGGTGTTTGGATTTCAACACAAAAGGTCAGACTGACTAATTTGTGACTGTAATTTTATGTGTCAGACTTGATTAACAGCACATATCAGTTACCCTCTTGTAATTACAGCTAAATTAGTTCTTTATGGTTATGTTGAGAATAATAGGAACATGTTGATAATTGCAGCATCTGAGTGCAAATAATATACAGATATTAAGTAATCCAATATGGCTTGAATGCTTCTTCACAGCACTCAACATAAGATTGCAGGTATAGCTCTTGCCTCATTAACTCCCTGTTTGCAGCGACGCGCACCAAAACATCAATACAGCTCTCCCCCTGAAAAGATCGCAGCCTTGCATCATATTTTCACACTTTTTGATGGGGCGGAAATCAAAATGGATGCCAAAAATACCCTCTGTTCCCGTCTGGCTCTTCATTCTCCATTGAACATGTCAGATTTGTTAGTTGTTATTGACTTCATTTCTGTACGACAACCCAAAGCCGAAGGCAAAACATGAAAAAGGGAATGAGATGATGATTGGACGTGATTGTGGTCGAAAAACATTCAAATTCGCAAAGGAGCAGAGGAAATGAGCAGGGCGGTCTGTCTAAAAGTTTGGTGTTTTGGTGCATATTTTGTTGCAATAAGGTTGAATTCAGAAAGAAGAAGTGTAAAGGTGACCAATTTTTTTTTTTTTTTTTAAACGTTTACATTTTAATCTTTTTTAATTCTAATTCTGACGTAACTATTCCTCTTGTCTGTCAAATTCAGCTATGCATTCTGCTGTTGAACTGTATGGTCACCTTAAAGATGTTATGCAAAAAATGTTATGCAAATTTGTCTTCTGTGAGCTTTTAGCCATATTATAAAGCTGTTACGTCCTCAAAAACATACATGGAGTTGTGTTTTGTTTCATCCACACATGTCTGAGTAATTCTGTATTATTAATCTGTCTTTATTAGCAAAGATCAGCATGCTCTGTTCTACCTTGTAATAACATGAAGCTAATAGCTACCTTTTGCAGCAGAGATTGCCATTTCCAGGGCTGAAAGTATCCAAATGTTTCTTAAGGTATGTGGAGTTTAAAAAATATAGCTCAAAGCATGTGTGAATGAAACAAAAAACAACTCCAGTTTTGTTTGTGACGAGGAAACAACATTGTAACATAGATTAATAAAGCATAATATAGGCCCTTTAAGGAATCAGTAGTTTGAGCATTGATCTTGAACGGAAGGTTAGTGGTGTAGTAAAATTACTTTTAGGTTGAATAGTATTTCATAAACATTATCATATTCATGTATTCTAAAGTGCCTTGTCTTCTTTGTGTTGTTGTTAAATGCTCTATAACTAATGATTGATCTTTGTCCACAGGTATGAAGTAAACATGTTAAGATCAAACAATGATTTCACTAATAATAATAATGATGTTGAATTATTTTCAGAAGAACCACCTGTTACATGTTACATGAAGTTCTTGTTGCTCTGGGTTGCCAGGTCCTGGCTAAATCAGTATTGCGACCACTCTGATGTTGTTATGGCATTCAAACATGATCAAAAACTACATGTTTGACATTTTTAAAACTATTTCAAATAGATTAAAACTTTGTGATTCATATTCTTGTTGTCAACATGTAAATTCACTGTCAAATGACTTAAATTGTATGTTGTATGTGTATCTATAATGTGGAGGTTCTTAATGTCACAAATGTGTTATCTAAAAATTATATAAGAAACTACAGTATACAGTATATTAAAAATGTGAAGATTACTTGAACCTAATTGGACTATGTGTATGTGTTTGTTTGCCAGGCCACAGGAGTGAGAGAGGAGCAGCTCCTGGTCACAGTACTTCCTGGTTTACCCACAGCCGCAGAGTTCTTCTTGCTGCCTGACAAACTGATCACAGAGGGCAAGCCTGACAAGAGCGCAGTGCATTTAGATCAGGTGAAAGAATCAGAACTGATGCTTGTATTCAGCTATTATACATAATTTGCATGTCTATTGTCTATTTCATCTTAGTTTTTGTTTTAATTTCAGATGAAATACAGTAACAATGCCTTAATATTATCATCCATTCACTTTCAGCAACTTAATCAGGCACAGATGTGTTCCCCAATCACATTAATATACTCTCATCTTTCCCAGCCTTACTACTCATGGCTTTATTTGACTTTTGTTTTGTAGTAAATTATTTATCACAGAGGCAATTGTCCTTTTTTTTCTTCTCATTGTATCCACTGTATATAGCACATGAATTCAGGAAAGCATTAAAAAGCCAAGCATACAGTAAGTTGATCCGCATGGATTCACTCAAGATGTAATTCCCTGCATTTTCCAGCAGATGTCAGTATTGCCACACCAAAGGATTTCCAGATTGGATATGTTTGGGACCTCATGTTTCTCTGTTGAGAAAAAAAAAAAAAAGTAGAAGTAAAACCTAAATAAACACTACACTAAATACATTCAAGAATTACCTAAATAATTCACATCATATTAATTTGAAACAAAGCACAACAGAGGTAAAAAGTAGTTATTTCCACATTGAAAGATTTATTTGTTTTTGCAAATATGAGAATTTTCTTTTAAAGGTGCACTGTGTAACTTTCTAGCGGAGGATCTGCTTCCATGGAGATGCTTTACCTGGAATATTTCACAGTATGGCATTAAAGACAACTTTAATGCAATACTGTTTAGTATTCATAGAGGCATGTAAGATCTGTGGAGAAGCAAGACTGTTCACAGAATGTATCCATGTTCTCCAAGGTAGTTCTGAAAAACAAAAACACCTAACTGAACAAATGCCAGATAAGTTTAACATTCCAGACAAAGGGGCATCTCTGCATAGACAGGCTATAGACTCCCCCACCGGGAAAATTACATAGTCTTTACATAGTTACATCTTTAAATACTACTACATCTTAAAATAATACTATGCTATAATTTCTTTGACATGGGCATGTGTCCTGCTAAACTAAGATCAGTGGTGTGTGTAGAATTGTTTAAAATGGAAAAAAAAAATGTGATCATGATTGCGATGGACTTCAGTGTGACCCAACACCCTTTGTGTACATGAATTAAGACACTGCGTCAATGAAAGACACAGTGACTTTAAATGCACAGCAAACTCAAATGATCTGATTTCTGGACCTTTTCTGATTATTTAAATGACATGCAAATAGCAAAACCTGATGTGAGTAATCCATGATCAGAAACAAATTCAGTGATAGTCCTTTTAACTCCATACATTTGATTATAATCAGATTTTGAGTCCTCCACATTTGAAGTCTATTAGCAGTAGAATTATACTGCAATGAGGGATCTACAGGTTAAACTTATAGACAGACAGACAGATACTTTATTAAATTCAAATTTTGCTGCAGAAAACGGTTGCAGCTGATGTTGCTGCATTTCCACTGAGCGTTTCAACATCTCTGTGGAGAAAAGCCTGTGATGAACTCTCCATGTATCTATCCACCCAGAAAGTTACACAATGCACTTTTAAAGAGCACATGACAGGTTAGACTAGACATTTCACAAAAAATACAGTTAATATGAATATGATAAGAGTTTGTTTCTCTTTTTTCTTTCGTGTTTATTTTTTTTTCTCTTTACTTGTTTCGACCGAGGTAGTGACCTCGTAAAAAAACATGAAAATCTTTAAATATGTTTCTGCAGTTTTTTCCAACTATATCATTTCATATTTCCTTGCTTATTTCATACTACACTACACAATGGGTTAATGTTTTTGCAGTGTATCTCGTGGCTATCACTCACAACTTGCCGTAGCAGACTTATGAAGCAGCACCCCTCAAAGAGTTACCAAGGGCAACCAGCATTTGAACCCCATTATTTTTGCTTGACATTAAAAAATGAATCCATGCAAAGATTGATCAGGACTACAAACTCATTTGCTCTGAAATGTCACAAGTGTTGATGAATGAAGAGGTGGAGACAGATGAACCTGAAGTTTGATGAACTTGAGCAACAACCTTCTCTCTCTCTTTTTTTTTTTTTTTTTTTTTTTTTTTTTTAATATGTAATTTTCAAGCTCTTATAAGTTCATATGGCAGGTTTTTGTGCTTTTATAATTGTTGTTTGGTACTACATGTAGTAAAAATGTATCATAGTGGTATCATAGTTTTTGAAAAGAAAAGTGCAAAATTACAGGAAGCAGTGGTGAGAATCCGTCCAAGTCATCAACATCAAAAATTCCATCCAAAACGTAGAGATAATTTACACACATTTTTGATAGTGTAAACCTTCATTTAACTACATAAAAGTGTCATTTATTTGTCCAATCATAACTATTGTGTAACTTATACTAGTTTGGGCCCTTTTTATTATGTTATGGTTGCTACGTAACAGTTATTTCGTTAAAAAATAATAATTATAATAAAGGAAACTTTGTAAAATCTTAAAGAACCCATATTATTTCCGATCTATGTTATAATGTTGTTTCTACATCAAAAACCTGGCCAGTTGTGCTTTGTTTCATTCACACATGCATATTTAGTTCTCAAACAGAAAACCACTCCACTGTGTTTTTGATCTCCATACACCTTCACTTGAATCATTTGGATCATTTCAGACCTGGAACTGCCCATCTTTACTGAACAAAAATTAAAAGGTAGCTTCATTACATCACAAGGTGGAACAGAAACATACTTGAGTCGTGCTTTTTGATGAGATAACAACATTAACATTGCTAAACACTCACAAGACTCAGTTTTGTGTTATGTAGGACCTGAAATATAATGATATAATCTATGTTTTGGAGAAATGAGCAGTCTGACCTGTCCTATGCACTTTATATGTATGTCTCCACAGCTGTCAGAAGTTTTGCTCAGCGCCTTGAATCAAAACTTGGTGCAGTTCACTTTGAGACCAGGAGTCCAGGTGACGGTGTATGCAGCACACTTATCAGCAGGTAATCACACACAAACATTTATGCATTTAGAGCTTGTTCTCAGCCTCAAGGCCGAATATACTGAGGGTTGGATATCTCATGAATGATCTGCTGAGCCATCAAATTAAAAGCTTTATTTTTTTTCTCAAATCAGTAACTATGCCTATTAAGCTTGTGTACTTTGGCTGTTTAAAGGCCGCCACACACTACAGGATTTTTCGGTCTTAAACAAATGTGTGACAAAAAGCCACAAAATCTTATAAGCCTTAAAATCTCCAATCATAAAGACTGCGTACCAGTGGATACAAAGTTTTGAGCGTGATCGCGTCTGCCGTTTCTTGTCTAGAGTAAAACGACTCGCTTCCAGACTCTTAAGTGTTCAAAAGATCTGAGCACTGCACTTGTAGTTTAGGTGCAACTTTAGTCAAAACTGTGTTATTATTATTTTTGAAATGTGGTGCAATACTTCAGATACATGATTTTTAAAGCGTAAAAGACACAGGAAGTACTCACCGCAATCTGAGCGCTGTGTGGATGTGAACAGACTCACTTGAGGAACTACTCTTGCCTTTTTACTTTCAAAAAACACCTCAAACTGGATTAATAGTGTGGTTTTGTGGACTGGATGTCACTATTTGCGGAGGACAATTTCTATGGATAATGCGGATAGGATGCTGCAGATTCAATTTACCACATTATGAGAGGTGAATAATAATATCTTCTCATTATTTTCGAGTTTGTATCTTGCGCCTCTATGTCCATCACTCCGTCTGCTCCTGACGCTTTGGTTTATTACCTGTTACCGTAGCGTTGCTGATGTTTGGCAGTTATGATCTGACAGAGCAGCTCAGAGTCACACTGACACCATACATGAGGATCTTTTCATCTTTATAATCGCACATGATGACAAAAAGTCAGGTCATGCCTCCCCAAACTCGGGGAGAATCAAGTTGCAGCGAAAATCAGACAATTCTCTTGTCGTGGCGGCCTTTAGACATACAAACCAAAGCATTTCATGTAGGTAGAAGTATTCGAATGCTCTGTGGGTCTGGTTTTATTCCAGCAAATTATGTCATGTGACGGTTGGGCTTGTATCTAAAGAGAAACAGCTCTTCTAATTCATGATAACAACAACAACAAAAGTATTTTTACAGTCTGAGACAAATAGCCCATTACTGTTAGTCAGTCCGATCTTGATTGATTCCCCATCAATACCAGGTGATGACAGATTATAACAAGAAGGGCATCTGGCATAAAAATCAAAATCTATTAAACTACTTTTGTTTTTACAACCTTGTTTACATTTCCAGATTAGTGCTCAGTTTAATCGTATTATCTGTATGGGATGAGATGTCCACGCACTATATTGGGCCTTGAATGACAACAGTTGGCTGGTCTGACATAACGCATGCAAACTAATAGACAACATTGATATACCGTAGAAGATAGTCAGGAATATTAACTCCACTTGTGGCCCCTTAAACTAATCCAAGGAACTCTGTGTGTGATTGGCTCCTCCCCCTTTAGCTACACAGAGACTTTCAGAGAGTGAGCACCGCTACAAGTTTATGTGCGTCCTCCTTTTGGCGATGCTGCTACTGTCCTAAAAGGCCAAATAAGAGAAGAGTAAGGAAGTCCACACTACTGCTTTTAAAGGGCCTATATTATGTGGGATTTTGTGCTTACACCACTTCAGACAAAGGATGCTAAGGGATGATTCATCTGTAAATTCACAATCATGATTACATTTTTTCATCAGTGTCTTATTTGAAAGCTTCTGAACACCTTTTTGGAATTAAATTAGCTCAGGTAGAAGTCTGAAATTTAATATATTAAGAACTAGAAAATAATTATCTGGAGAATTTTGCAAAAATAAATTCAATTACCCCTGTACTGAGCTCCAAAAAAGTAAACTTAAATTTACAGGTACACTATGTAACTTCTGAGGTGGAGGGTCTGCCACGTGCTTGTCTCTAAGGAGAAGTTACAGTATTTATTTTCCTGGAATGTTCCACAGTAAGGCATTAAACATATCTACCTTACATTGATAAATTACAGGTGTTTTATAGCTCAAAAATGCCTTTAAAACATTCAATGTGCAGGCTTGCTTAGATCTGACCACTCATCTGTCTTCATTGTGATTCCAAAGTTTCCAAGTTTGTGGAATAATCAAGGCAAAACAGTAATATCTCCATGGAGACAAGTTGGCAGATCCTCCACCAGAAAAGTTACACAAAACACCTTTAAAGTCCTTTCAAATCTGCCGGGTTATGTTTCAAAACGTAGAAAGTCGTATTTGATTAAGACAGTTACAGTTACAGTCTATGATATAAAGTGATATAAGGTTTTTGTTTTTATTTTTCATATATTTTGGTGATTGCTTCAAAAATCATTAAAAATCATGACACCCCTACTTCAGACATCCGAGCCTTGGTATTTTCTGAGGTATAAATATTTTCATTGTCTCTAGTTATTGTGAAAGTTATATGCAAAACACCAGCAGATGACACTAGACCTGAGAAATTTTGAGCACTGAAACGATCAAAACAAGTATGGACAACATAGGGAGCATTGTTGACGGGAGTACAGGGGTGAAAGCAAAAAAAAAAAAAAAAAAAAAAGACAATCTTACATAATATAGGCCCTTCAAATCCATATTTTAGAGACATTTATGCTATTATGTGCTTCTTGCATGATTTTTGGTCAATACATTGTTGTTGTTTGGACTTTTGGTTGATGTTGAACTGCTTGTCTCCTTGTCTCTGCAGCGCCCCTTGTGGACACGAGCGAGAACCACAGTGGCTCTGCAATGCTAATGCTCCTATCGGTAGTGGTCGCGGGTTTAGCTGTATTTGTCATCTACAAATTCAAAAGGTAAAGTGTCCACAAAATGCCTAATATCAAATGGTGGTGGGAGATATTGAGAAAAAATTTACTTCATTTTTGGAATTCAGATTTAATTTTTGCATAGTAAATATCTGGGTATAGGTTTAAATATTGCAGTAATATGGATTGGACTGTAACAATTAAATACAAAAGATCAAAAATGTAACCTTGCATCTTTGTTTGGAAGATTGCATTGCAAATTTAAAGTTTGTTTTATTTTTTATGTACTAATTTTGCAACTTTAAGATGTTTTTCTGATGAAAGACAGCGTATTTGATGCAGAGGTAGGGAATACGCAGATAATATGAGACAATACTATATCAATCCAATAGCCTGATTCAGCCAGTTTCAATTTGTGGAAACAGTCTGACCTCACAGCATTAGGATTCATTTGTTCGACAGTAGACGGGTACTTTTTTTATTTAACCAATCGCTGCTATTTGGTCATGACATATGTAATGTGCCAAATCCCATAAGAAAAAGGGCAATAAAGTCTTTCCCCTTGATAAAATTCCCCAAACATCCTCTTTGTTCCGGCTTTAGATCCTCGATATTGGGAATCGTTGCCAACACAGAATATGTAGTATGGCTTCATCTACATCCATCTCGACCACTTTGTTTACTCTTGTGCTGTACCAAAAAAGGAACCTAGACAACTGGGTCCCTTGCAAACCCCCTAGTGCATTCTGATTCCTGACTTAGTTGCTGGAGAGAAATGAAATTGAGCAGAGGCACTAGGTGGCGCCAGCCTGGCTATCAATCCAACAGACATGTGCGAAATTGTGTCTTTACAGAAAATGTAAAGATATATCCATATTTAAAAGGTATGACATATTTTTTGTTAGTTTAAAAAAAAAAAAAAATTAACAATATTGATACTTTGCAGTGACTTTAAGCAGTGGGTGGTCTACATGTAACTATAATGGTGGAATTTTTAGTAATTACCATAGAAACACAATGCAACAATGCAGCTAATGCAGCAAACACTGACACAAAAGTTTTAAGATTGTCTGAAAACTTAAACATGAACTGGATTTAAAAGATACATTTTCTGGAGCCTGTAATCAATACAAGCATCCTGTTTAAAGGTTTGATTTAAAAAAATAAAAATAAAATAGGAAAAACTGTTTATCTGTGAGAAACTTGTTTAACAGCACAAATCAGCTCGTCAACTTGTAGTTCCACCTCTTTATGGTCAAGCTGTGTTAATGATGAAAATGTAATAAAGCTTCAGATAGAGCAGAGCCTACAGTTAGCACCACACCCCCAAGGAATGTTGATGTCCGCAGCTGCAAAGTATGAATGCTCTATATTTAATTTCAGCATAAATTCCAAAAATATTCTTCAGTATTTCAAAAACCTGCCCACCTCTTAACTTGTATTAATATTCTAAATTCTCTAAGAAAAGGTGTCTAGTTTAATCAGGGTTTTTGAGACAGATTTGAAAACAAAAGATGCTCACTGGGCACTACAAGAAGCCTGATCGCAAACTGTCAAAAGTCAATCCCCTGACTCCCCAGTGCCCTCTGTAGACAGGGAGGGGTTGCTTAAAAATTCTCCCTTTTGTCGGGTCAGGCCTCGCTAAAGAAAGGTCTCTCAGCGTTCAGTTGCTATCAATATGAAGCCCTTTATATGTGAGCACTTGACCTTTGTGAAATGTTAAATTATTTCCCCTCGCCAAGGTGGGGTTTCAAATGGAAAAGGGCACGGGAGGTCAGAGAGATCGGCAGACAAGCAGAGAATGAAACGTTTAGCTTTTAGCACACCAGGGCGAGCTATTTTACCTGAGTTACATCATTTTTACTGGCATATAATAAGAAAAAGACAGACTTAAATAGAAATACATGGTGCTTGTTTCTAGGCCAGTGGTTCTCAAGCTGTGATATTACACGAGCAACGATTTACTATTGATTTTGAATTGGAGCCATGTGAATAAAAAAGCAAATATTCTACAGGAGTGGTTCAATCAAATACGGCCCTTTATCTTTAGTAAGGCAGTTCAACAAACGTAAACAACAAATGAGACTCAAATGACATAAAGCATACAACTCTACTATAAAGAAACAGGCAAATTTTCACTGCTGTTACAAACCTGTTTATTTCTGCATTTGAGATGGTTACCTCACAGCAAAATTAGTTTCAGTTTTGCTCTTCGTTGATGTTGTAAATATCAAGACTTAAAGGTTATATTACGCTATTTTCTGATCTGTTTTAATGTTGTTTCCTCATCAAAACATACTTGGAGTTTTGTTTGGTTTCATTCACACACACACAGGCCCTGAATATTTAGGCTGAATGATTCTCACAAACTGAAAACGCCTTGTGATGTCATGTGGTGATACAGGAAGTGATCCACACCTTGAATCATTTGGACAATTTCAGCCCTGGAATTGCAAATCTCTACTGACCAAATGTAAAAACGGAGCTGTTAACTTGAAAACTACCACTACATGACATCACAAGGTGGAACAGAGTATCTCCAGGTATGTTTTTGATGAGGTAACAACATTATAACATGGCTTAATTTTTGCTCTTTTGCATGTTGTCGAAGTTTAGATTATCTTCTCAGGCATGGTAGCTGAATTCAAAAGTAACTAAGTATTTTGTTTGTAACTGTAATCACTGACTTATTACTAATGTAGCAGTATGATTCACTTTATATGATTTCTATGCTTCTTTTGGACAGTTAAATTAGCATGTCCACTCTTTTCTAAGACTGTGGCTCGGGGGAACAGTTTGAGAACCATCTTGTCTAGACCGTTATATTGTCTTTGTCCTCTTGCCTCACTGTAAATCTTTCCTCAAGGAAGATCCCAGGCCTCAACGTCTATGCGCAGATGCAGAACGAAAAAGAACAAGAAATGATGAGTCCAGCCAATCCAAACGAGGCCACGCCCCCTTCACAGCGGGACCGCGGGCCCTCTTTGGAGATACTGGACACAGAATTCAACTCGCGACCCATCGGTAACAACATGTGGCTATATGTTTGTCTTATATTACATCATGTGCTTGTTCATATCATACTCTGCAAAATGGGGATATCTACATGAGGTCAAGTTACTAATATTAACCCTTTTAAGGTACATGACAGGTTAAACTACAAATTTCAATAAAACATCTTTAACATAGTCTTTTTTCTTTTCTAGTTTATCTTTTTACTTGCTGTTTGGACATGGGCAACAGATATGACATAAGTAGAGTTAATTCCAGTTCAGCTACCTATTTATGTATACATTGACCTTTATTTAGACAGAAATACTGTGCATTTTTGTATTTGTCTTCTCAGCTTTTTTTCCGCAAACTGCCACTGAAAACTATGATAAATATTTACCACTGGCACTATCACCTTTAGGTGCACTGTGTAACTTTTCTGGTGGAGGGTCCGCCAATTGCTTTTCTCCATGGAGATTTTACTGCTTTGTCTGGAATGATTCATAGTATGTTATTAAACCTTTCTATCTTTATGGAGACCAAACAAGACCAAGTTACAGGTCAGATCTGTGAAGAGGCGACTCTGCACACAGTCAGAATGCCTGTTTTTCTAGGTATTTTTGAGCTATATAATTGAATAAATGTAAGGTAGAGCTGTTTAATGTCACACTATGGAACATTCCAACAGAGCAATGACATCTTCATAGTCTTTATATGCCTGTGGATATGTCATATCAATGACCATGGACTGTTCACCAGAAAAGTTACACAATGTACTTCAAGCTTAACCTTAAAGCTCTCTGCTCCAGAAGTGGCATAAGGCTGTCACACTTGCATTTTAATCCTTTTTTGGGTTAACTATGTGTCCAGTCAGCGTTTGGGTTTCCTGGAGGTTTTTACCCAACTGTTTCATGTTCCTGTTATGTATTTTTTTGGCTTTGGTTGTTGGTCCTTTGCACAACCCCCAACCTGGAGGATCACGGTCTGATCTTCATATGCCTTCTCCCACTCAACCTGTGCGGCATGAGTCTATCCCACCTAACCAAACATGAAAACCTGTCAAGTGCACTTTAAGATTGATGCCCTGACATAGATCTGATCTGAGGGAGGCAGAATAAATAGCTTTGTGTAAAGCCAGTTCCACAATGAAAATCCAAGTAGAGCAGTATATATGCATAATCCTAGACAGACAGGTACGCTTTTATAAATAGCACTAGATTTTGTAATTCTGCTTCAATGACTGTGAAAAACATTTGAATTTATATAAATGGTTTAAAACGGTAGTGAGTGCACTTCAGTGTAATAACAAAAAGCCCTTTGCCTGATCAAGGCCTAATAAGCTCATATCTCCAAACAATATTTAACATTCACCTCACAGATATTACGTTTTGCAGTGTATTGTCATTTCATTGTCCATGCATGTGTCATTGAATTCATCTTTTTGTTTTGTGTTTCTCAGAGGTGAAATGGGCCGAGCCCCTGGTGCATGATCACTAGAGGAGAGTAGGTCTGCTGCAGCTAGATCTGCGGGTATTTCACTTTTTATATTATAACTACAGGGTCGTTCAGAGTACAGTTAATAACTGAGGAAAATGGTCAATGAAAACTGATATTGTAAATCATATTACAATTGCTTCCACTGAGACATATTCAGTGTTAAAATATATTTAAAGTTTTTTTATGTATTGTTTTATAAAATTCAGTTATCAGTTTCTAAACTATTTATTTTCTGTGTCTGTATTTCCAAAAGTGGCTGAATGTGAAGTGGAGCTCATTTACTGATTTACTAAGTGCGGTAAAATATCTGAAAGTTAATTTAATTTCAGATTTAAAAAAAAAATATTTAGAAACACTCATCTTTTTTCATATTCATCACATTCATCTTTTTCATATGTCCAGCAAATGTTATTAGTCCGTATACCTACTGTATGTTTCTCTGTTCTTCACAATTTACATTACCAGTGCCTTCATTGAGGTCTTTTACTTGTAGCTTTAACCTCCTGTATAGTCATTTCTATCAGAGGTCGGTAGAGCAGCCAAAAATGATGCTCAAATAAGAGTAATCCCTTAAATAATAATACTCAAGCAGAAGTACAATGTAGGGGTAAGAAAATACAGTAAGAGTAAAAAGGAACTAAATTAAAATACTAACTAAAGTAACTTAAAGAGTAACTGTCGGGACATAACATTTGATCTATACATTTAAGTTAATGTAATTTAAAGGACAAAACAAATACCAATATCTGGTCAGGATTCAGTGGACAGAAACAACAGTGAGACAAACTAAATTATATCTGAAAAAGTGGTGCAAGAAACACAAACGTTCAAATCATTTCATACTGTCAACATAAAGCTTTTGTCACTTGTAGACTTACTCACTGAAGAAAAAGTAACCAAAGCTTGAACTCAAGAGTGCCATTGCTTCAATAAAAATATTACTCAAGTGGGAGTAAAATATGCTGCCAGAAAAGTACTGTGAAAACTAAAATTTCTTTTAAAAGTGACTCAAGTAAATGTATTTCTCTGCCAGTTTCTCATGTGTGTTTTCTTGTCTGGTTAATTAAATCAGTGCACCTTTAATGAGGCAGGTGCAAATGTGTTGATCACATGTTTAAACCAAAACCGCCAGGGACACCTGCGTGGTGTATTTACGGTAAAATGCACACAAACACCAGGTGCTCTGTGTGTGTGGGCTGAGTTGTCATAGTAGCAGGATGAAGAGCTGCAAGTAGCCTTTGACCTTTAGCTACACCAGATTTATTAAAAAGTTTAATAAATGGTGCAGTATTTAACTTTTCAGAGGATCTGAAACCTGCTTATCGCTTTGAAGATGTTATTTTTTTAACTTGAAATTTTCCACACGTCTATTCTAGGTAGTGTTATGGCTCAAAAATACCTTGAAACCATGCATTGTTACTGCGAGTGGGCCCGCCATTCCACAGATCTGCCCTGTTACTGGTGGTGTTACTTGCTTGTCTCTATGGAGATAGATAAAATTAAATGATATTCTGTGTAACATTTTAGGCAAAACAATCTCCAGGGGCAGACAAGCAGATGAAAGACCCTCTACAAGAAAATGTACACGTCTGTAACATTTTCTTTTTGACCTTGGTTGTTGGTCCTTTGCACAACCCCCAACCTGGAGGACCACAATCTGATCTTCATATGCCTTCTCCCCCTCGACCTGTCCGGCTTGAGTTTATCCCATCAAACCAAGTAAAATTAGAAAAACATGAAAACCTGTCACATGTAGTTTAAGACTGAAGCCCTGACATAGATCTGATCTGACATAGATCTGATCTGAGGGGGAGAATAAATAGCTTTGGGTAAAGCCAGTTCCATAATGAAAATCCAAGTAGAGCAGCATATACAGTGTGCATAATCCTAGACAGACAGGTACGCTTTTATAAATAGAACTAGATTTTATAATTATGTTTCAGTGAATGTGAATTTATATCAGTGGTTTAAAACAGTAGTGAGTGCAATTCTGTATAAAGAAAAAAAGCCCTTTGTTTGATCAAGGCCTAATAAGTTCATAACTTCAAACAATATTAAACATTCACCTGATGGATATTACATTTTGCAGTGTGTCATTTCATGGTCTTTGGTACTTTTAGTAACTTAAAAGTCAAACATAAAAATGTATGAATACAATATAACAATACGTTCTGCTCAACCAATGCAAAACTATGAATTAATAATAATTCAGTAGTAGTGTACAAGGTAAAATAATTTATGTGTATGGAAAACAACTAAAGTTTATAATGTCTTACACTCACTACACCAAAATAACAGTGAAGATTGAAAGATATTAGCATTAGAACAGTTCTTTAAAAACTGTATTTCTTTAAAAGACCCTGGATTATTACCATCTGAAATCAGACTAGCGCATCAAAAAACAAAAACAAAAAAAAAACATTTTCAATAGAAGAAAATTAAATAAACATCGAATGATCAATTGTCCAGGACAGATAAATTGAGATCCATTTTGACTTTTTCTTCTCTCTCCCTGTGTTGCCCCCTGCAGGATGTATGAAACCTCATGTCCATCATGTGAAGTTTTCCACAGAGCTCCCCACGTACATCGTCTGATCACGGACTGGATTCTCCGCTCCAGCGTTGTCATGGATATTTTTTTAACATTTCGGGACTCAAAGGTTTGGAGCTTTACACCTGTGCATGTTGGAGCCACCGTTCACACAGACTCTGTACAGGTTCATCTTTTAACATAAGGCCTTTTGAAGATTACATTTATTTATAAAGACTGAGAATCACTCCAGTGAGGACTCCAGCATGACAATTAGAGAAAGAAGGTAATGTACAAAGCTACAGTGGTTGGGGTTTGCTCACAGGTCTCACTTGGTTTGCTGTTTGAAGCTAACAGCTGTAGTGTATTATTTATTCATATCAAATACTTTTCTGAAGTATGTGGTCAGAGTGAATACACATTTATTTTGTAAATCATGAATGTCTATGTTAGAATATTTGTGTACTTTAATAACAAACGTCAGACTTAACAGAAATGCTGTTGTATAAAGTGTAAAAGCGTACGTCGAGGCTTGTCTCCTGGAAAGATGATTTATGGCACAATACAAATTTTGTACTCCAACGGCTTCTTTTTCCATTTTATTTCTCTTTATAAACAGATTTCACTGTATTATAAACAACACACATTTTAATATTATTGCATAGTGATACAAAGGTTGTGTTCTGAGTTGAGGCCTGCTAAAGACAGCCGTGCACTTTGTAATACTATAAATATAACTCAAAGTATTACATTGCTTATAAAGTATTTCATTTGGATTCAACTATTTGCCATTTATATCCTATAACACCCTGAACAGTTTGAATGCAAAATCAGCATTCGTTGACTTTTCTGATGAAGCCAAACGTTCGATTTATCCAAATGTGTTACTAATGTCAAGGTCAAACTGGGTAAGAAAGTGTTCCTGTATGTTAGTTATAATGTACAGTTGAAATAAAAAGTAAGAAGAGTAAAAGAGGAAGGTCACAATCAAAAGCTCAGTTCTAAATTTAAAATATGTTGAAAGAAGTGCTTGAGGGAAACGCAGAGATCTTCTGATTGGCCCGTCAGTCTATTTATAGCCAAAATGTCCACTATATTTTTGAACAGAGAAATGTGAAATGTGAAAGGTGACTTCGGAAATGCACAGTGAACAAAACGGGGCCATGTCTATGAGAAATGGAACGTGCTTTAAGTCAAAAAACATGTCAAGATGAATGCTTTCAGTGGTTATGGTTTCATATAGTTATAGCTTAATATGAGAAACTTCAAGTGAATAGACCAATAGCATATAAAAATAATAATAATAACGTGGAGAAGGCTGCACTTTTACTGTGTGGCTGTACTGACAGGCTTTAAGCAACTCTGACAAGTGACGTTATTGAAATTGAGTGGAGAAAAACTCACACGTGGGGGTCATTTTTGCATCTTTCGGGGCATATGGTTCAAAACTGAGCTTTCTCCGCTGCCATTTTGAAACTTAACTGGTCATCAAACACATAATTCATTACTATTCTGTATGTGAACCCTGTAAAAAATGCCACACCACCCACTACTGGCCCCTCGTACAAACTGCAGAAGTTCTGATAAAAGTTCATAGAGTTACAGTTTGGGTTCTCAGTGTTCATCTTACAAAACAATTAGGTTGCTATACATTTGAATCAAAATTAAGGTAAAAGAACATAAAGGCAGAAATTTTAAGGACTGAGAACCACAGAGAAATGCTCAGTATACTCATAAAAGCCTAAAAAAGCAGACACTATTACAAAGAAATGTTCAAAAGTATCCCATTTTATTTGATTTACTCATGTGATTAGTACTGCATTGCCATTAAAACATGCAATCAAGAAACTCAAACCCCATTACCAAGCTGCACAGTGCTGAAATCTTGATATGAAATGCAAGAATGTTTTAGCACAGATGTTCATGACACCAGCTGTGCAGCACTAAACTTATAAGACCTAGACAAATTTGATTGTCTAGCGCCATCTGCCAGAATCGATGGGAACTGCAGGTCATGACAGCAAATCTTACGTGAACATATGGATAATGATTTTGATGATTGGCTTGTCATAACCAGTGCGACATTCTGATGGTGAAATGTGCAGGTGTCTTGACTAGAAATGAGCCAAAGAAGGTGAGAAAAAGACCAGTTTAAAAATCGTTCAGTAGCTTAAATCAAAAACTGAAATGAACACCGACACAGAAATATTGAAAGTGTAAATGTGATGTAAAAATGACGCTACGTAACATTCATTTTATATTTTTATCATGATCGCTTAATCACAATGTAAACGGTATTTAACATATTTCACTTGTATACAGAATATAATGACATTTCCCTTTTTTATCAACTTACAGAAACAAAAACATATATATTTATGCATTTATGTACTTTAACATTACTTTATTTTTTAGAATAGAACTAGAATATTTTATCATTTTATTTAATTTTTTTCTTGAATCAGTTCTAACATCTTTTAGGCTAATCGCGCCAAAACAAACATTAAAGATGTATATACTTGAAAGTGTACCAGTTTTTTGATTCAAAGCTTCTCTTTGTTGAGTAATTCAGAATTGAACAATAAATCAATTTTGGGTAAAAGGTTTAAAACACTAAGTGCAGAATAGGTCTTGGATGTTGGACTGTACTGAAGTTTGGTCTCCTCTTTTCCTCCCCATCGCCTTCGCCTTCTGCTGAATCAACCAGATAATTATTTTTATATAAATATGAATAACACAAAAAAGTTTTACTATATTGTACAGATTTTCTATGGGAACAGGCGTTCAGGTGTAACAGTGATTTGTTTGACCTCAACTGTGCTGTGTGTCATTGTTTTATGCATTTACAATCATATTTATTAAACAGAAGAACTATGTCTGTGGTCTCCTCGGTTCATTTATAAACATATTTGAAAGACGCTGTGCATGCATAAGCAGAACAAGCACTTTTGGGGAAAACGCATACACAGATTTATATTATATGTTTTTGAACCATCAAGCATTACATTATAGCCAGGAGTTTAGTTTTTTTATATATATATTTTTTTACTTTTAGTTCCTTTGTACTCTTTCTGTCTCCACTAAATGTTATTGCTTTGTGTAGAATGTTCCACAGTATAGATTAAAGGTCCCAAATTGCTGTATTTTCTGATCTATAATGTTGTTTCCTCATCAATAACGTAACTGGGCTTGTGTTTTGTTTCATTCACACATTTTAACATTTTAACACACCAGCCCTGCTTATTTAGGCTGTGTTCTTCTCTTAAACAGAAAACACTCTGTTCCACGTTGTGATGTCATGCGGTAATACAGGAAGTGCTCCACTGTGTTTTTAAAGTCCATACTCTTTCATTAGAATCACTGGGATAATTTCAACTCTGGATCTCTGTTGAACAAAAGGTAAAGGGGTAGCTGTTAACTTGAAAACTTCATGACATCACAAGGTGGAACAGGGCATTTTGAGCTTTGGAGATGTAGACAGACTGATAATAAATCTATCACAAGGGAGACAAGCAGGTTACAGCACTACGCTACATTACAATTCAGATCTGTGGAGTGTCACCCCTATTCACACAAAGAATTATTATTGTATTTTTGAGCAATAGAAACAACTGTGATGAATAAATGCCAGATGAATACGCTTAATGTCATACCATGGAACATTCCAGGCAAAGCAACAACATCTCCGTGGAGACGAGCAGATCTTGGACACTCCACCAAAAAAAGTTACGCAGTGCACCTTTAAACATGGACTTACACAAAGATATAGCAATTTGAGTTTTTTGTTTTTTGTTTTTTTATGACAAAGTTGTGGTCTGACTGAATATCACAAAGTTAAAGCTGACTTTTTTTTAAATGCACAAACTTTGCATAATGACATTTTTAAGCACCCATTCCTTGCCCTATTCTGTGACCTGAATTTACTGTACTGCACATTGCATAACTATTCCCCACAGCGCTCTCTGTCTGCACCTGAGCTCTCCCAGAATGCTTCACTTCAGCCTGTGCCAGAAGTGACTCGGGGTGAGACCGAAATACTCAGTTAGTCCTTCACACTCAACTTTAATAACTTTCATGCTCCAAAGTTCCAAGTTTATGTTCTATAATTTTATTTATTTATTTTTTTTTTACCTGCATATGGTGAATTACATATCCAGTGGTTTTTAGATTTACATCAGATGTCCTTCCTCCTGCAGTGTTGTCTGTTTACGTGGGCTTGGAACAGCACCATGGCGTCCTCTTGGAAATTCAGGTAAGATTGTCTGTGCTACTGTAACAGAAGTAAACCATAACAAGTGTCAGAACAACCTTAGAATGATACAGATAATATTATTACTGTTGTGCTAATACTTAAAAGTAACATATGTGTATACTACATAACTACTACAGTGTACAGCTTACAGCAGGGGTGTCAAACTCAAATTCACAGAGGGTCAAAATTAAAAACTGGGACTAAGTCATGGGTCAAACTAAATATTTATTACAAATTTTCAACACAGTCTGAATGTTTTCTCTTCTTTCAAGATATGTAATGTTAAACCTTTTCTTATTCAAATAAATGTTTAATAAACGTTTTGTTTAAACACTGAATCCAGAACAAGCATAATGTAAAATAATAACACCATTTAAATAAATAATGTCTCTATGTACGATATCTGTAGCTGGTGGGCAGCTCTAATACATATTTGATATAATCTCGTGGGCCAAATATAATTATATCGTGGGCTAAATTTGGCCCCCGAGCCTGAGTTTGACATGTCTGGCTTAGAGAGTTTCTGACGTAACATCAGATTTAGTTTATTTAGTTTATTTTGGAATCATTCAAAACACTACCACTCAGAAGGCTGGACACACCATCTAATTCAATGTGTGTTTTTCATTATTTTTTTACAACATTTTGACACACTGACAACATCAGATATGTAAAGTAAGATATATGGAATTGTGTAGCTAAGAAAAAAAGGTTAAATAACCCTACAATTTTTTTTTATATACATTTATTTTATATTCAAATCCTACCCACCCTTTGCTTTGTCGAAAAGTATTTCAACATATATATCCTTCATATATTCAGCGTCTTCCACATGTATCTAAAACATAGAAAGTAGTAAAAATGAAATAAATAAATAAATAAATTGCAATAATCATGA